AGATGCTACCGAAGCATCTCCGTGATGATACCTCATATTCAACTCATGTAAAGTGATCATGCTGTTTACTTGTCAGGCAGGCACCTTAAAGATGGTTACAGGAGCTCGGAGATCGGGAGGAATAAAATGACGTTAAGAGACTATGCTCAATGCATTAGTCGAAGGTCCCTCCACTGAGCGAATATCCAGTTAAAAGTCTCGAAGGAACAAACGACATGATGGCCTGCTACGAAAAACGGTGCTGTAAAGAGGAAAATCTCATAGCTAAAGACCATGATATGGCGAAAGGAGATTGCTGAATATTGACTCTTTTTCGACTGTCGCCACTGTCAATATGGGACGGTGAGATTTCGTGCACCTCATCAAATGCACCGGGTAAAATGCATTGTCAAGTTATAGAGGGGACGTTTTACCACTAACGCATAGTGCAACACAGTCTAGTCGGCCAGCGCGCATCGGGATATTAAACAGACTTAGGCGATCATTTTCGAATTCACCGTAACGCTGACAGCTCCGCTGTTCACACAAAACACATCCAACAACAATGTTGGGAAGTTCGCCGTGGTAAATACGGGACAACCTACTCTGACACTTTGAAAGACGAATTCTATTCTGATCGCCTCGCACCTCCTTGGTAAGAAAAGTGCAGTGTCTTCTGCAAGGACATCCTCAGCCAACTTTATATGACCCAGTGTCACTAATGCCTTTAGTAAACGATGCACCCATATATCCATCTCATCCAACAAACTGAGCAATCCAGTGTGCTGAAAGCTAAAAGTCTGAGCTTTAGAAGCGCATGCATTAAGGCTCAGAAGTCGGTATATCTGTTTGGCGACTGGAGGGAGAGAAGAAACAGCGCTGGGGAGGGGGTGGTGGTTGGGGAAACCAGGGTTTGGGGCAGTCCAAATTTACAAAATAAGCGAGCAGAGGCACATCTAAAATAAATGTCGTAGGGAGTGGTAAGGGGTAGAAGTAGGGCCGTATCACACACTTTGATGTCAGTCAGAAATCCTAATTAGCTTTAAGAGTGTCTGAAGTGGTTGCCGACCCAGAGGCGCAGGACGGGAGGGACGAAAAATGTTAGGAAAGTCTCTTTCCTCAGCGACTTACAGCATACGGCTAACTATTTGTTGAAAAGCGTGAGGTGTGTGTGCGTGTCGTCTAGGGATAGAAATGGCAAGATGAAGCAAGAAATTCTGCAGTGCGCGGTGAGAGAGAATTTGGTTAAAGGCTCGCATAGTGGCACGTAGAGGAGGGGAAGAGAGTGAGTCAGGGTGGAAATCAGGGAATCAGGGGACATAATTGGGCATAACGAAGGGCCGCAGATTGAGCGAAAAAGTCCGACGAAATACACTCCGGCATTTTGCAAGTGTAGAATACGACTGTATTTGATCCACCAGCGAGCCTTCACTCCTCAATTTTCCATAGATGGAATTTGCTCACCCTCGAGCTCCTAAAGTCGGTTTGAGTGAAAGTTAGCATAGCAACATTTTTTCATCCAGGCGCAGGCTCAAAGAGTATAACATACTACGAAGTCTAAAATAAAGTTGTCTGTGCAAGAGATATTAGCAACATAGAATGTGCTAAGTCCACGGATTAATAACCAAGTCAACGGCCAGTAGGAAACCAGAAAAACATTAACAAAACATATACAGATGCGGTGTAAAGATGGGTGGTGTACACTAACTGTGCTATTTTTGGGATCGCCTGACTCGGCTGACACTTTAGTCATGTAGGAAAAAAAGGCTTTTTAGAGCGAATAAAGAAAATCCGTAAGAGTATATTGATATAGAACAGATTGCGTCCCTGCTGATCTATCTTTGTGACTTCTCATCAAGACCTTACGCGTTGCAAATGGGGAGTGTTATTTGATGTCGTGAGTAAAGCTAATTCTAAAGATCGCAAGCTTGAAAAGGTCGCTACCTTGGTAGATTTACATATTTTAGTCCGTATTTTACAGTGAATAATTTCAAAATTCAAACGGAATGGCGTAGCTCGATTTAACTAGACTGAAGAACAGATGACGGTTGCCATCGTTTTTCACTGAGACTAAGAGCTGGATCCCTGGTCTGTGTTCATATATGAACGACCAAGTAAGGAATGAAGTTTAGACTCGCGAACAAGCTGAAGACGGGTTGATACTGTGGGCCTCCCGATGCGTTGTCAGGATACGGCTGGCTGGCGACGAAAATTAGGCTGGAAATAGTCTTTGCGCTCTTTGTCGGCAAGAGGTACTGACCATTAAACAAATTGCTCATGGCTCCGGAGCGGGAATGATTGATTAAAGTACAGAAAAATGGTGAACTCGAAGCGGTTGGAACTGGAAACTAGCAAACTGATTTACTTTACGACTACCCACTTACATTTTTCCAGCCCTTCAGGTGGGTGAATTCGGCAAATCTGTGAGTTAATCTAGGATATAAAGACTGAGACCAGGTCAAAATCACAGGAATGCATACTTTGACTATGCTTAATACCTGAGGACGCAGTCTGGTACTCTAAACTGAGACAGTCTGCGTGAAAGTAGATGTTATTTTTGGAGGCTTTGGCAGATTCCGGCTACCAAGCGAAGCTGAAGTGGAAATGCAGCGAGACGAGACATCAACTCGGAGTCACCAAAGTATTCATTTCTTGAAGTTGTGCTTTAGTGTCTCCTACTAAGTAGACGATACTTTCAGCGAAACTTGAAAACTGTGCCAATAAGTTGTAGTCACTACTGTCCCATTACCATGCTCCAAAAATCTAGGACCGGTTTAAGAATTATAATTTCATCGCCTTCAAGAGAAATTCTAAAGACGTCTTGATAGCGGCTCTTGAACACGTAAGTCATGATGGAGGTAGAAGACAATAACCATCAGATCTTCACTGTTTTACTAACTTCCCACACGGATTGCAGCGAGCTAAAATATCAGAGCACTCAGGGAGCGCGACTACTAAATTAAAGCGGCAACTATCGGATGGTTCAGAAACGTAGTTGCGTTGTAGCGCTTTACTAACGCTTCAACGCATACTGTAAGGGCATAGGAAAAGGTGGAATCAAAGTGTCTTCTATGGATATTCACAGCTACTGAAAGGTAGAGAGATATAAAACTGCAATAAACCCAAATTCTGGAGGAGATCCCGCATTTAAAGCTGATTTGGACGGCCACTGGGAGTCGTGTTTGATTACTCAAAATCCGTGTGCACACTAGCCGAAGGTGACTGTCAAATGATGATACCCAAAGACTCATTGTTGAACTCGCCGAAAGTCGTTTACCGGAGCGATGGTAATTCCGGCCGAAGGAAATTCGTCAAAGAATTAGAAACAGGCGAGAAGATAAATGACGGCAATTTACGCTCCCAGGTGGGGAGTTTAATTTTTACCTGACCGAAATCCGTGTGGAGGGCAAGAACTTTAAACGTCGAGAGCCGCTTGAGTCACGGTTATTAAGACTGCAGTCTGCCCTTAAACAGACTTAATTTCCTTTGGCTTACGCCGCGTTACCACTGTGTATTAGTAGGGCAATGGATCCTTTTACAAAAGCTACGCAGGATTACCCAGCCATCCATCCACCAATGCCCAACACCAGCACCTGTGCCACGGCGATGTGTATGTCAAACTTGTACGACGTAGCAAGCCCCCTCTCTGGCTGCCAATACCAAGAATGAAACAGCGGCTGTGTGACCCATACCCAGCAGGCTAGTTAATAGCCATATCCTTAAAGTACTAGAGAATTGAGTCTTCGCTGGTTTTACTCTGGTGACTCTCATAATCGATTTAGGTGAAAATCCGGAGCGTCTGATTGAATTAATTAGACGTGGTTTGGTTCTGCAGCGCCACTTGATTATTAGCTTATCGTTAGCTTACTAAAATAATATTATTAGCCTACCTAATTTTACCTCTCGCTGGCTGGAACCGATGGAGTTTAAGTCCGTCCGAACAATTCCCGTAGAAAGCCTACTTAGCCCCTCGCTGGATTAGTATAAAAAAGAGGACGCAAGCAGGGCTCGAAGCACGTGGAGGGAGGCGCGTATAAACTGATACCTAAAGTAACCGAGGCTGGCGTATAAGCACGCCTCCCCCCGTGGCACAGTTACTCGTTGTATTAAAATGACGAGGGAGGTACAGACACGTGATGTTTGCAAAGTCAGAGTACTCGAATCTAATAAGCTCGTTTTATGAAGTTAACCATATGGTATCAATAAAGTGGGGCTGCAGAACCAAACCTCGCCACTAATTAATCCAGGGCCAGACCCAATTTATTCCGGACTTCTACACTGAACTTCCATTTTCACATACAATGACAATTTAAGAAACAAACATTTGCTGCCTTTTCCATATCAGTGTTTGAATTTCTGCAAAATTTGAAAAGGATGGACGGGCATACGCTGCCTGGATAACGGCGTTTCTATCGAATACGATTTACACGGGTGGCTGAAAATGTGCTCCAGTGTATATATGGTTTCGCAGATACGTTCAGCATTAGTCGGCACTACAGTCGCACTAGGGTAGTGTTTCTTTCGTGAAAATGTATTAAAAAATGGTGGACGACCGTTCATTAAATCTGGCGTGTATGGTACATGTACCGGGTCCCCACTGTCTTAACATGGACACACGAGTTCGTTTCCACTTTAAACTTGAAGCTGTTGTAAATGTTTGAGCCTCCAGCGGTATAAATGGCAAATAGAAAGTGAATCTGACCGACGCCACAATCGTCAATGAGATGAATTCGAGTGACATTATGCATATATGGACTTACGTTTAATGGACTGACAAACATAGGTCAGAGCACTACCGGCCAGCCAGTAGAGTAAATCTTCACTTTGAGAAAGGGTGTGCATGTGTGATTTCCGTAAGTAATTCCATAGTGCAATAAGGAAGGAGTCTGCCACAGCAGTTGGACGTATGAGTCTTTTTGGTATGAGTCTTTTTTGTGGGTCTGGACTTCATCTGAGGATGGGCATAAACGTTGTTACGGTGCAGGAGACGAAAGTGGTGGGCATGGTTGAGGCAAGACTCCTTAGGGCCAGATATCCAGGATGCATTCAAGGATGCTAACCATCTTCCTTGATTCAATTAGCGAGGGCTCCATATCCTTCGCGGCCTCCGGTGAGGGATGTAGAAGAACAGGCGCCAAACAGACGGCTAAATTGTGTGAGTTCATCTTATTCACCATTGATTTGCTGGTGATCCGTTTCAAATGGTCCAACAGGTAGAGCAAGACTTCCTGGAAATGCAATAAAATCAGGGACAGGTTCGAATTTCAACGTAACAGTTTCCAAAAAACCGTGAAATTTTACTCTAAGCACTTCAGGCATTGCAGTTTTGGATATATTTTATTTCATAGTACATATTAAATGTAGTGAAATATCGAAGCAGACCAGTACTGTGAATGCTTTGCAATCATCTGGTAGACAGCAGCACAGCTAATACCTTGGGTCGCGGTCAACGCCAATCACACAGACCTTTTTCATGTTCCTGTACATAGGGGCAAAATTATACCAAATAGCAGGCCTCCTTGTATTAGAATTGAGGTAAATGAGTATTTGCTTCAAGTTCTGCCAACATTTATAGTATAGACAAAAAGCTTGGGGACTTAGTCAGGTGGCCACTGCAATAGACTTTGGTCTATCTTAAAACGCCAAATACTGTTAGAACTTAGCGACATTTCTAGGTCAATGCGATTTAGTTGACTGGTGGCGGTTTACAGTCGATCTGAGAGCACAAAATTGGCTTTGATCGGAAAATTTCCCGGAATTATTGCAAACAGTCTGTCTGAGTTCTTGAGTTCTTTGGGTTCATGAACAATCAATTTTGTTTATTAGCTGCTTAGCTATATTCAGAAATATCCAACTCCAGCTATGCCTTTCTGGGAAGTAGTGTCCGGGTTTGCTTGAGGGGCGTTATCGTACACTAAAAACAACAATGTTTGGTGGACATTTCAAGTTCGTGAGAGTGAGGATGGCTCAGAAAATCTGAATCAAAAATACAGTCGTACGAGGTCTGAGATGCCCAATAGCATCGCTGTAGAAGAGTCTTCAGTTTTTGTTATATATGTTTTTTCAGAAACCCAAAAATAATAAAAGACCGCGTTATACAATAACACTTCGCTCGTCAAAAACTGCGAAGGCCAACACTGACGTGAGATCGATATGACGACCTTCGTACAAATTGGCTTTCAGTAGAGGCTGCTTATATGATATCCATCTGATTTTATCTCCCCTACCCTACCATTTTCACCCGGCAAGAGGTTAAAAAAACATATTATCGGCACGTGTTAAGTGACCGACGCGACTGATTTCAAAGTCCTAGGTGTCATATATGTACAGATCTAAGCACTCACACAAATTACACTTGACAAAGACGTCCCGGATCTTATGTGGCTGGGAATTGTTATGACGGCCGTATTCAGAATGAGCCTTTCAGTCGACCTTCACTTTGAAGCACTCTCGCACTATCCCGTTAATTTATAATCTGTGCAACACCTGATGGTGCACTGTGATAGCTTATAGTGGGCAGCCTATTTATAGTGAAGTAAGCGCGTTCTGAATCTGAACTGGACCAACCCGATTCTCGGAACCTCTTCTGCACACTAGCACCGATTTCAGGTCAGGTTGATTGCTGTTCAAATCAAATGCAGAAGTTGGTGTATTGTGAACCCTCCGTCTGATCTTACCAGACGCATGACATTAAAGAATAAGCCATGAAAGATATACGGCATGATAAAATGGAGTCATCCACTATACTTGAAGGATGGTTTATCTCTAACTTTTATCGCCTTCACACTTTGATTCTTGATAGCGTCGACATATAAAAGTTAAATTTACATGCAGTGCTATAGACAGAAGAATGACTGAGCAGCTATTTAGGAAAAAATGTTGAAAATACGCGTAAGTAAATTAAAAGTGACTGCAGAGCTTCGTTTTCTTGTTTATGGTCAAATTTCACACAATTAAAACATTGAAGTCACGTGAACATAAAAGAAGAAATGCAAAATGGATGAGTGCTATAGCAGAATCGCTCACTCAGCCGTTATTTGCATAGGAAAAGCGAATATATTTAAACAGTCTTAATCAAGAAGATTCAGAGCCTCGTAACGCCTGCTCAACACCTGCACAGTAATTGCCATACGACATGTTTCTCAGAGGTAACAAGTGGTAAAGTTTACGTGAGTGGTTGACTTCAACAGCAATGGAGTGACGATACAGTAATTGAGAACGAATTAATTTAAACGGCATAACAGAAATCGCTCGCTTGTGCTGAGTTTCTATCTTTAGCATACGTTCGCGTTCCATATTATGATCTTAGGTTCCAACCAATCCTTGCGGTTGGTAGTTTTAATATCCTTTTTAATGTCAGACGCGGTTTAGTAGGATACCCTTAGCACGCTACTTTGCGTAACATTAAACGGCAAAATTTTCAAAGCATGTGGGCTTCCTGAGGTTGATCACAGTCATGGTGTCGGACTGAGTCAATCACATTGTAGCGTCCGCCTGGTTTTTTACCAGGAAACCTGTAACGCATGACATACAGGGATTTAGTGCGTTTGTTCTTTCGGGCGCCTTACGATTTTCCAGTTTGCCTACGAAATTTATGGAGCTGTGGTAGTAAATTTAATCCCTAGTAAATGACGGTTAGTTAGGAGTAAACTTTGTCATCCGAGCTAATTTCCTTCCCTCTTCTGCAGACAATATTTTAAGTGTGTCAAGTACCTCAGATACTAACTAGGGAAAAGACATCTTTTCTTATCAATCAGCCTTTAGATTTCAAGTGTGCTCAGATAAGGTCAGTATTATGCGATATTTTGTTGGCACATATATGCTTCGACTGTTTAAAGGTTATTTAATACGCAATCCGTGTCAAGCTGCCCACACTACAAAACCTTGACCGTCTTGCCCTCTCGAAAATGGAGGAATGTGAATACTCACTCTCAAATATGCGCTGCCAGCTTGACCAGTCAAAGCATGTGATGGACTCGGTGAGTCCAATGTGTTGGTTATTGTTTACAAAATACGTTCTGAGCTCGCAAGCTAAAGTAAGACAATCGTCCCACGCTGATCTGATGAAGTCGCTAAATAGACTACCCGTAGACAAATCGTTTCCAGTAAATCCAAATGATTACATTGTCAACATGTCGAATTTGAAACTGACTAAACTGAAAGCCGAGGCCCTCTCTTTAGGACTTAAGTTTTGTGTGCCGAGAAGAAAAATAGATCCGACGGAGATTGAGGCTCAATTTGAAGACCTATATCACCAATTATCGGAATTAACACCGACGTCAGAGGACAATGTGAGATGGTTGAAGGCGAAATTCGTAGATATCGCCTATCAATACAGAACTTTCTCGACTAAGCAACGCTCACTGCTAACTAGACAACACATCTCGGCCCTAACTGACCTACGTAAGACTACTGAAGTCGTCATCTCAAGACCTGACAAAGGAAGCGGGGTCGTGATCCTAAACAAGACTGATTAAGTGAGAAAGATGGAAGCGATATTGAGTGACTCCAGCAAATTTTCCTCTGAAGCCCATGAGAAAGAAGAAACAAAAGCGCTAGAAGACTTTATTGGGAAAAAGCTTAAATTGTTACTTGAAAAACAAATAATAGACGAGAACTTGGCTGCGTGTCTTACGCCCGTAGGGTCGCATATTTCCAGACTATATGGACTGCCAAAATTGCACAAACCAGGGGTACAATAACGACCGATTTTATCAATGAGGAATTCACCTCAACATAAACTTGCCCAATGGTTAGTGCAGCAAATCTAACCAATCAGACACAACCTTGCCGTTTACGCTACAAGAGATACTTTATCCTTCGTAGATGAGCTTAAGCTTCAGAATCTACTGAATAAACACATGATCTCGCTTGACGTGCAGAGCCTGTTTACAAACGTGCCACTGGATGAAACGATGGACATAATTTGTGAGCATGCGGGTGAAACACACCTGCCATCAGAGCAACTGCGGAACTACTACAGATATGCACAAAGAATGTACAGTTCTTGTTCAAGGGGCGGCTGTATCGACAGATCGACGGTGTAGCTATGGGCAGTCCATTGGGGCCAGTCCTAGCGGACATTTTTATGTCTACTCTAGAGCGAAAACTAGCTCGGAACGTACAACGAGCCTCATTCTATAGGCGATATGTGGATGACATTTTCGCCATAGTCAAAAACCCAGGCGACGGAGAACTACAACTCAAGACTCTGAACAAAGCACATGCAAAGATCAGATTTACGATTGAGCATGAGAAGAATGACACACTGCCTTTCCTGGATATTCTTGTACGTAGGCGGGCAGATGGCTCTATTCAGAGATCCATCTATCGAAAACCCACCTGGAAAGGACAATGCATGCATTTCCTCAGTTTCGTTCCAATTCAGAGCAAACGAAACTTGGTTTTGTGCTTGTTCAATAGAGCCACCAGAATCTGCTCCTCAGATACGATCGATGACGAGCTTACTTTCTTAAAGAACGTTTTTATTGCAAACGGGTATCCGGAGAAATTCATCGATTAATATCGCCATTCCAGATAAGAACCTCCTGAAGAAATATCTGTACCTAAAAATTCCGTGACCATCTACCTCCCCTACAAGGGTGATAACGTGTCAAACGTGATCAAGCGACGACTTCGGTGCACTATCGAAAGGACGTAAGCTGCCTCTAAATTTTTGTTCATAAGCATCACAACGGCCATCCCAGTTAGACCAGCTAAAGACATTTTGCCTATGCACGCCACACCAAACTTTCTTTATGAGTTTACATGTAGTTGCGGATGCAAGTACGTTGGGAACACGCAAAGGCAGTTGGCAGCTCGGTCAGCTGAACACATGCCGAAGTGGCTGCTTAAGGCGGAAAATAAGGTACCCAGGAGCTCAATCACAAAGCACCTAGTGGACACGGGCCATACGGTGGACCCAATGGTCGCATTCAAGATCCTGTTTCGGGCGACGACCGGGCGTCTCTTGCGCTTTGCAGAGGCCGCTGCAATACGGAGGAGGAAACCAGAACTCTGTAAGCAGCTGGACCACGTGATAAACCTGGCACTGCCATGGTAGGGATCGATTATGGACGAAACCCTGTTCTCATGTCCGCCCTCTCATTTCGCCCCCATCCGCCTCCCTCTCCCCGGCATGACTGAATGCTCCCCGCACGTTGCACTCTAAATCACGCCGCGCAAGTTTCTAACTGTAGTCCTAACTCTCATACTTGGATGACTTCTCTCCCCCTCCCCCCCTCGCCATATGCACCCGCATATTAGACCCATGTTTCAGATTACCTATCACGTTTTATCTCCCTAGGTCGATCGTTGATTGAACAGTTTGCCTGTCATATAACTATGCAATGACCGTGTGCATCTGAATAGGTCTCGAAATTGATGACGTTAGTAAATTCTGCATGCTTTGTCGCCTTTGCCTTGTTCAAATATAAAATTTGTAGAAAACGCTCTTCCACAAGGACAGACCGGCCGATTAGTCAACTTTATCATCAACAATAATTAACTTATGTGCGCTATTGCTTGTTTTTCAACCAAGTATATACCTTGATATTCTGACTGTGTAAACATTTAGTCAAGGCTTCTCTGATTTGCCGCCTGTAGGTGCAGAGTAAAGAAATCTCCTGCTTCTCTTAGCCACCCAAATGTGGAAATTTTGCCTGGGAAGTCACCGACATGGCTTAATTTTTCATCTTCCATGAAGTCATTAACAGCGTCACGAGTTCCAAAAAATAATACACAATTCATTATTCGGAGAATATAGGTTAATTATTTTGCATTCTGTTTAATCATTTTCTACACATGATTTAAGAAGGGTTTATTTGTCATTTACGAACCTTGACTAAGTGCCAAAGCTTTCACCATGAGTGTTCACATAATTAAGGTCCCATTGAGAAATTTGGTTGTCACCCTCTCAAAATGTGACATTCTAATTGTCGGCAGTGTCCATGAGAGAATTTCAATCATCGTAGTCTACAGCAACACACTTATCGTATCAGTGAAAGCTTTCACCTGGCGTCATACGCGAATCTTTGCTAGAACAGCGACCGCGGTAAAATGGCTGCTATTTCTTTTGACAATGTTCTGTTTGCCAATTCACGTTGATCAAACCAAGAAACAAAGACGTTATCCTCTTCATTCTCATGTGCCATAAAACCCGATTTTCTTCTCACAGAAATAGTAACAAGGTTGTTCTGTCGATTCAGAAACGGGCTAATAGGATGATTGTTCCATAGGCGATGAAATTTGCATATAGAGTCAAATCTGTCTGTTAGCATATAAACCCATCCAGCCCTAATGAAATTTGGAAGAGTAAACTAATATGTACTTATGATGCACTGAAGATTAAATTATAGGTATAAACTGTCAGCACAAACAGAAGTATATGTTATGTCGGCCTTCCAAAACGCCTTGCCGTATCTCCTTTTTAAGCCATACGTTGTTACGCACTATCATTTGGCCGGAGAAGCAAAAAAGAGGCATTTTCCGAACACAGGGTGAAGTTTCGGCTGCATAATGTGGACGCACAAGCTATTGATCCTCCCGAGCCATCATAATTCAGTTAGAATGGGTAATGAGGGGAAGAAGCTTAATGCCAGTTGGCTTTACGTCCTTACGCCACCCATGCCCGTTGATGCTCATCTAAATGATTAGGCATTGACGTAAATCTTGGTAGACTGAGCAGCCTTAAAAGCGTGAGTTGACCACTTGGGCGGTCGGATGCTGATTATCTCCTGCAGGACAGATTGACCGGTCTTCTCACCCCCCAAAACACCAAAATCAACCAGATCGAAAAGTTTCTTTTCTGAGGTAAGGACTGCAACTTAAGTGACCCGGCCTATCATACGCTAACTTGAATAATTCCAATACAAGTGATGCGTTGAGTTCACTATTTGCGGCTCTTGTGCAAACATAATCAATAACGACGCAAGGTATCCAATGGATTAATTCAACTAATCTCACTGAGAAATGATATTTGCAAAAATTTGCGAGCTGTAATACCTAGGCATTTGGACAGCCGCTACTTTCATATTTTCATCCTAAAGAAGATAATGCCTCGAATTTTATTCCTCCTCCTAAATAAACTTAAAGTCCACTTTTCGGAGAAACTGACAGACTATTCCTTGACCCTGATACAGATGCCGAACATAGGCAGAGATGCCTCGCCATTGGGTACGCTCTATTTTGCTCAACCCCAAAGCTGGATTCGGATTATGTAACAGCGTTAACCTAAAGCCCTAGGGTTGGAAAAGAAACGTGGCTCGTCAGAAGAAGTTTCTTTTTGTGATGCTCATTATAGCCAATCGAAGGAGGCCAGCCTCTTATAATATAAGTCCAAAACTGTAATCTTTTATAAAAAAAACTGCTTCTGTTGAAACTTATTGAGAGCCATTGCCTAAGTTATGAGACAACACACTTAAACTGTGAACGATTGTCAGTGTTAGATAAATTGTTAGCTTCTAAATTAACAACTAGAATTCCCAAAACACATTTCTGTTTCGACATTTCACGTGGATTCATGTGTTGCTTGTCATATTACCTCAGTTCAGCGAAGAAAGAAGACAATTTTCAACTTATAGTAATGTGGAACAGACAGCAGCATGTGTGGGAGCAAAGTATAATTAGTCGTAAAACGCAAGTCTGCCGGTGGAGACTGAATGGAGTTTCAAAGAGGTAAACAGTGTGTCAAAAGATTAGGACCAACCACTGTCTAAAATCAACCGTACGAAGTCCGAGGTGAGCGTCACCGGCCCTGAAGTCAGTGTTGCCTACACATCAGAATAGTCCGCAGACCTTGTCACGACCGTGAACCAAAAGTAGTCTTACCTCTCGCCGCATGACAACTGCGGGCTTTACGTCGCCTCTAACTCTGTCGTGTTTTATATCAGCACTGACGGCAATCATCAACACAATGAGTACATTTTCATTGTTTAACAGTCATCCACCTGGGATTTTCTGTTTTGTATATTACAGTTTTTGCCCTGGGGTCTAAGATCTTCTAAGGCTATAACTTTTCCTAATACAGTCAATGAGTTTCGAGGTCACGACTTATCTAAAACTGTTCAAAATCCTTCTAAGTAGTGATAACACCGTGTTTTAAACAATATTTGTCATCCGTAAAAACATCTTGAGGGATGCAATTACGGAAAATATTTAGCCCCAGAAATAGTCGGCTAGTTATCCCGACAGAATTAGTCGAACAATCGTTCCTCGCTTGCAGCAAAGGTTACAGCGATAGTTGAACGCTAATGCTTCGGCGGGCGGCCAGAAAATGGAAGTACGTGTCTAATGATCAATTAATTAACCAGGATCTTGATACTGTGATTGCTTACATGGAAGAGAAAATTTATTCAAATAAATTCAAGTTCTGAGAACAGCAACGAAAAACGACCTGGAATGATCAGGCGGCATAGGTAAATGGCCTCAGGAAATTCTGTTCCGACTTGTGTGAGAACATGGTGCGGTGGAGGGTGGAATTGCATAGATGAGTGAGTTCTGTCTTCGGCGAAACTTCGTCACGTGCGACTAGGGTTGCACAGCACGTGACATTACTCAGTCAAGTGGAAGGTGAGGAAACAGGAGACGGGCTGAGTTTATTTCCCTTATCGACTATTACTATATCAGCGCGAGACGGAACATGTGATACAATCACTTGCACCGTTTTGGTTTACTTCTCCGTACGGCAATGCTTTCGCCAGAATAAGGAACTTAAATACAGTTGTTGTATCCACCACAGTGTCAGTGTTCACTTGGTGCCCCGTGACAGAACTCATAGGTAACCCTTTTTGTACTCGACAACCATGTCGGCGTACTCTGAGGTGACCTACTTGTTGACCGCCTTTGTGTGCGCTCAAATTATTTGCATCCGTCACTACACATGAATCCATAGATTGTGCGTCCACAAAAGTGTCCCATTTCTGCCTCCAAATTTCATTGTACTTCTGAACCTATTCGTATTTGTGTTAAAACATGTTAAAGTACATCCACACCAGCAAACCTCGTCTTGCGCCATTGCGTGTTCTGATTTCACCGCTGCTTGGTGAAGGTAGTTTACAAACCATATTTCCCTGATGGATTTTTTTTTTAATTCAAACTCTGCCATGAGTTGCCTCTTTGGACACATCTTTTCAGGCACGGTTTTGTCAGTGTAAGAATCGCTGTTATCTGAGATCGCTTCGGGACTTCCTGGAATTTGCTTTTTACAGAGACGATGTGTTAGAATTGACCTTACGTTTTAATGCGTCTGTACAGAAATCCGTCTTTGGCTGACAGCACATGTACTACCGAAAAGCCCAGACACGTGTGTTTCGCCAATATTCTGCTTCTGCATGACACACCTGCGAGGAATTCGGTTCATAAGTGGGTCTCCCAGCATTACCTCGTGCGGTTTCTGGTAGGTAATACACGAACTATGGCCAATCAGGAAGCAGAGACTAGTGGCAGTCCATTCGAAGTTGGGAACATTCTGTAGATATACAGCTGAAGCGGATGGAATTCGACTCATTTCGATTGAGCCTATGTAGCTTCAGTCTGAAAGATTAACCTCAAGCCATCGCATTCCTTTTTGAGAATAATAAGACGGCAAAATGAATCGTTTTTTGTCAAAATAGTGGTAATTGCTCAAATCAGGTAAGGTCTGGTCGAATATTAACGAACACGTTCAAAATATCCGTAAGACAAATGAAGAAATGGACGGAGAGGAGCGAACCCACAAATCACTCTAGACAAGATAAATTCTTAGCCTTAATTAAATTTGGCAACTGAGTCCTTTCTCAAGATAAATTAAGAAGTTGACAAGAGAATTTTTGAATGTATATGACTATGTAAAAACCTCCTCCGCTGATGAATAATGCTTGGGCTTAAGAGGGTTAGCCGAAATAACTTTGTAACGGAGGATTGTGCCTAACTAACGGTTCTACTTAAAACATTTGAGCAGTATGAGTTTGTCACAGAGTCCTCTTCAAGTGGGGAAGGGACTATTTCAAAAAATGTTTTGAAACTTCTTTCAAATGTTTTATAAAACCTACCGGAATATATTTAGATCCGTAAAAGTCATCATCACTGCATATATTATATCTACTTAAAGGAAGGCTTACAGATGTATTCACCTAGCCCACAACTACTTCGGCAAACAAATCTTTCTATTTTTAAGCAAATCTACTTGTGTCTAGTGCAGCAACTTAACCTGCCAGGTGACAGCTGTCGCGATTTGACCTCGGCCTGATTCGCAGGAGAACAGATCGTTCTTGGGTCTTTATATCAGCCTGGGTCAAGCACTAATTTAGTCCGGATGAGCATGCTGTCCGCCAGAATCGCATTCACAATCTACTAAGGTCGTTCACAAAGAGCGCTGACCTAAATAAATCAAGTGGTGAAAAACGATTTTCGGAAAATTTAAATTTTAACTCCAAAGGGTCTTCAATCAGGCTTTTTACATCGGCGAATGTTCTCCCAAGGACCCTTTTTGAAATCTCTTTAGAAGAATGCTCAATAATTAAATTTCAGTAAGAACATCTTTTTAAACCCAAAAAGTATCTTTTATATGCTGAACGCGGATTAAACATAAAGCCAATATTTTTCTGCAGTTATCATCGTCATAAACTCCGAGCTTACAACCTAACCTACTTTTGCGCTGAACATAGGTCGAACGGATTTAGTCTGACGTTTCCCTTTTGTGAGAGCCAAAAAGAGAAAATGTCCTTTGCAGTCTCCCTTGTATTTGCTAATATACCCTCAACTTACAGTAGATGTGCTAACTCATGAAATGTCAACCAAAATTTCGAAATGCGTTCTCGTTTCGAAAAGATAAATTAAGTAAAGTTGTAAAAATAATCATGATGCAGCATAAAACAATAATGATCCAGGTACCTCAGGGTGTCGGCTTGCGAAAGAACTTATTTTCGGCTGCATGCAAGATCGATACTCTGCAAAAAATGGCTACTTATGTAGCATGCAATTTTCTCATTGATTTTCGATGCCCTTGAAAATTCAATTATATTTCATGGAAAACATCCATAAAAATATTCATTCTTTTACTTATTCGGTAGAAAATCATGTCTGCGTCCAATCTCATACTCAAAAGAATAGTATAATCCAGTTTTAAAAACTTTTCTAATTCCCGAATAATTATGAACCCGACCTGCTGTTACACTTTCATTCAGGGTTTCAAAACTACAAAGTGTATATTTTCCGTGTACGGAAAACCATGCATTTCTGTACGGTGTTAAGGGAAGAACATATGAGGTTCATAAAATTGAGCAGTGGATTTGAGCAATATTGTTAACTTTACAAGTCACATTCATAAATGCAGATACATGACGTTTCATGAACGGCCATTTAACGGTATTAAAAAATCTCACAATTAAAACCTTTTTAAAACCGAATTGTACTCTTCTTTTGAGTATGAAATTGGACGAAGACGTGATTTTCTACCGAATAAGTAAAAGAAGGAATATTTTTATGCATTTTTTCCATGAAATATAATTGAATTTTCAAGGGCATCGAAAATCAATGAGAAAATTGCATGCTACATAAGTAGCCATTTTTTGCAGAGTATCGATCTTGCATGCAGCCGAAAATAAGTTCTTTCGCAAGCCGACACCCTGAGGTACCTGGATCATTATTGTTTTATGCTGCATCATGATTATTTTTACAACTCTACTTAATTTATCTTTTCGAAGCGAGAACGCATTTCGAAATTTTGGTTGACATTTCATGAGTTAGCACATTACTGTAATTGATTGCTCGTTGTTATGCTTCCGCCAAAAAGTGTGAGGGGTGTGTTCCCATTATCGAATCGATGTTCAGGCACTTCTATGAGAATTCGGCTGTTTTTTATCGCCGCTAACAGAAATATGTGACGCAATGCCCAGTTGACAAATAGATAAGAATCGAATCATGAGACTCCCAGTTTAGTTAGGTAATAACGGCAAATATGTCGTGAATTAACCTTCCTGATTCATATGTCTATGCATTCATCACACCTTTAAACACATGGGGCAATAAAGAAAATAAACAGATCAGAGAGAGGATTTTGAAAATTTCTTAGAACTCTACAGATGACAAAGTGCACTTTAGAATTAATCAGCTGTTGTGGTCACCCAAAACAACCGGAATTTTTAACTACACTGCTTATTGGACGTTTTAAATACAGAAAGGCTGTGAATTGGGATTCGGGAGAACGAAGTACTTGTAAAGTATGCCAACAAATGACATCTATGAAGATTGAAAGCCTCCGCTTTAGGCGATATTGCAAATGCACCGCAGTCACGGTAGGTCAAAAAACTTCATAACACTCTGACTCAAAGAAAATTACTAAAAGAGATTTTCCAAGAAAATCGGATACGTTATGTGAGATCGCAATCCTTATAGGTACGTAATATTATCTGCTAACTGTAGGTGCAAGGTCAGACATAGGCCCCTTACTCTATCAAAAACATGTATACTCACAAAAAATCCGAACTTGCATCATTTCTGTTTCCGAAGTTCTTTCTTGTGCTTATATGAAGAGTTCTTTATGATTGGAAATAAATAGTTACCACAAAATGTTTAATATTATTTTTAGCTTTGATAACATGCTGTTGAATAATTTCACACAAAATCCTTGAACGCTGCTTGCGAAAGGCCAGGTAACATCGGAGAACTTCGTCACTGTTAGAAGTTGGCTATAGCGTTTTGAGGCACCAATAAGCTTGGTGTTTCAGGATGACTTTGACAGTCTTATGTGCAGTGTGCCGAAGTCACTTTGGATTTCTAAAGTTCCTGCAAGCTTTGAGAAATTAAAACAATTTGTCGTCTGAAAAAGTACATAAAACATTGCGCCCACTAAAAGCAACACCTGCAAGTACATGTCCTCTGTAATGCAAAATGGCAAAGGTTGAAGATGTGAACTAATGATGATAGAAGTGCATAGAAAAAAGCCGTTATTTTGACTGCTAGGACTAGACTTCCAGGAGTACCGTGGACGAAAACTTTGGCTAACCCCAACCTTCACATAAGGATGGTAATATTAAGAAATCATTTAATTTCTTTTAGGTAATTTCAATTTTAGGTAGTCTACACATTGTTCTGTGGCAGCTTCTTTGCTTAAGACACTTAGGTCAACTAAGATATTTTTGGATTCTTTAATACTTACCTTGTGTTATGCATATTTATAAGTAACTAAAATAACTTTCAGTTCTCCTTGTAATTTATACTTGTTTAAAGGACTTTTCAAACTCTAAATATTGAACGCTTTGGTCACGTATTGCAGTTTCTTTGCCCGCGGTATGCAAACTGATTAAATGCGAGTCCTGCTTGGTGAGCATGCTAAACACATTCGTCACAACGGTGTTTACAATAGAATCATTGTAAGAAAACTTCATGGCCTACTATTAGAAATAGTTTATGCTTGAGGGTCTGAAAGTTAAATTTAAGTTCCAACACATGCATGGTAGTGACATTATTCGTCACCTAATTGTCAGCAGTCAAGAAAGAGCACTATTAACCAGACTACAACGACAGTTAATGCAAATGCGAGAGACAGTTTGTCATAACCATTTCATTACTTTAGGTAAAGTTGCATATTCTGTATCTTGCCATCTTAACGTCGCAGCTGATCGGCATCACGCATAATTTGCCCAACAGCAAACATCGGGAATCATCGAATATTTAATTATGCAACTACTCTCGTTACGGATTTATTGACGCTACGAGTAATAGCGTGCTGATTGCAGGTAATTCTATAATAAAAGTCAGAATAAATTCATATGAAACACTAACAATTTTCTTCAATCTGTCCCATTACATCAAACAGCTGTTTACGAACCACTCTCTTCTTTGGAAACGAAAAATGGGGTAGTGTCATATTTTATGCTCTACCGGAAGTTAAAGCAAAGGCTACTCATGTAGCCTTCCTATCCGAACAAAGTAACTATTTATTTGTGAAAAGGTCCATCTTCCAGGAAAACTCAATACCAAGCATTAGCTGCCATACTTTTTCATATAAGGATTATCAATGAATTATTATGAAGGTTCTAAAATCTCATGAGTTACAGGCTATTCCGGCTGGGGTAAGGACAGAGGGAGAAGATTGTTCTCGTTCTACATGGAGTGACATGCGAAATAATGCGGGCTCATTTCTTTCGCCAAGAGTCTATACCCGTGGCTTCATCAAGTCGTTCAGCGACCACGGTTTTACTCGACCCGTCTGCCAAGATATGCGTGTGGTCTTTGGGCGTTCGGTCTTGGGGGAGCGCCGGTCAAACCTTCCAGACTGGCTAACACTAATCGGCTCGCGACATCAGTGAGAACGAATAAATTAGGCGTGCTCATAGATACGAAAATGCAAGTAGATTGGTAGCTAGGATATCGTGTTGACGGGCGAATTGGGCTATGGGAGGATACCATCCACGTATAGAAGAAATTCCTGTGAGACATGCAGAGGCTAAGGATTGTGCTTGCAAACCCTTCTCTCAAAGGTTTTATAGCGGAGGCGAGCATCCGGTCTCCATTTTGCAGTCTAAGTTTGGTAAGAGGCGCTAGAGGTTGTCGCTGGCAGTCAATGTTCCAAGTCTCCTCCCGGGCGCTCTCCTAACGCTGCCTCTGACCGCACAAGAAGGACCAAAGTGCGCAACCTTTAGAAAGTCAATTACCTCTTCAGTGGAGTCAACGTGTTCCACTTCCAGACGATTATAGACGTAAAAAATGTGTCCGGTATACTTGTAGGCCAAATCTACTGGTTAGTACTTTTTAGTGAATACTAGCTCGCCTCTGTTGCAGAAAACGCATGGAAAACAAGAACTTTCCCAAAGCTCTAAAGCCTCGAGCACTCGTAACACTTAATTGAATTATAAAGCCTGCAAAAAGCCCTTTCACAGCGTAGTCGCCGTAACTACGCTACAGAAGGGAATCATCGTCTTGAAGAAAAGGACTATGCATTCCTCTGAAAAAGTAAGACGGAACAGGAGATTTAAGCAGTTGATCTGGATTCGATTCCTAACGCTACAGTTGGCATCAGTTAGTGAACCTTCCAACGTAGCTACGCTACTAAGACTGATTTTTTTACCTACATTTTTCGCAACTTAAATGATAAAATCAGTAAAAATATTATTAAAAATTCGAAACCTCATTAGATTTTTGCTGCTGATTAGTGACTCATATTATGAGTGGAGGTTGTGACAAGTTCCGTAAAAACGTCAGATAGTGGAATGAAATTCTAAAGCTCCATCGTCCTAGCGAAAAAAAGAAGGTTATCTTATCCTGCATTTGCCTGTCGATTAAATGTCAAATTAAGGAGGCGCAAAACAGCGGGGTCGTTCTCACAGATTGAAGGAACTCTACTTACCGGGATTCTTAAGCCGCAGCAGGCGGTATGCCTAGAGTTCAAGACGAATATGTATACACTAATGCAGTGAGGGACTCAACTGACCATTAGCTGATTAAATTAGTCTAATGGCGCATGCAGTACATGGACAAGAACATGAAACTAAATTTGCCGGATACGTCTTTTTCTTTCGAGAACTTTGGTACAGATCGACCAGGAATGTGTTCCATGGACTTGTGACTGATAGTGTTGGACAAACGTGATCCTATATAGCATTCTTATCATGGATTAGGCGACGGAAATCATCTGATAGGAAAGACAGAATCAGTATGAAGTACTAGACAAAAGGGATAAAAGCATGCTACGATTCCACGAAAACACTTGTGGCAGTTTCCCTGTGGCATATGGAGGTGTGCTTTTCCCAAAACTGTCCACCTCATGAATTTTTGAGATTGTGCACAAATAAGGACGATTAGGCGGTTCAGAATGCGAGGGTAGTCATCAGTCAGATAAAACGTCAGATCTTCCAGAGAGTGTTCTTCAGATGACCTTGACAGCTTCACTGGATATGCGGTCAAAGACCTCTGCTCAAAGAGCACAGCAAGAATCCTGAAAAACGCAAAATTATCGTTTAGATCTCTCAATTATCGGTCTTTGCTGGTCACGATGTCCTCCATGATGTCTTAGTTAATGTCCTTGGTGAAACCACAAGCGCAAAACTTCCAAATGGCACACAAAGCTTACTCATATTGTTTTAAATGTCACAGAACAGAATACGTCTCTGGTTGAAGAGATCAGCATCACAAGCCAACGTCACGGCCAGAAACAAAAGCCTCATCGTCAGCTTATGCTGCATCACCGTACAATCAGACAATCTTTATTTCCTTCCATTACGCGTTTTTGATGTTGCGCATACTGTAGGGATCATTCACAAGCAAAAGACCACAGTCAAACTTCAATTGGAAGCGAATATTCCTCGCTATTACGAACTGTGTTGCCTGCTCCACAAGTACAATTTTGTCCATTTGGCCAAGATTTCTAAGACACTTAGACACCTTTAATTATCGGTGTAAATCACCTACAGAAACCTTTTTACATGGGGATAAGCATGTACTGGACCACAGTTTATCCGATCAGGTCTAAGGTTGAAAAGCGTGGTGGATCTCGCAGAAAAAGCAAAAGAAGATAAGTCCGTTTAAACGGACCTGCGCTGAAACAAAATAAGAGATTACGGATGGTCATATCCTGACACAAATGAGCTTATTCTGGTCGGTTCTCTGGCAACAATGCACTGCTCGATGAAAGCAAATGCGTAAAATCAAGCAAAACAATACGGAGGAGCGTCACAGGCATCAGTCGGGTCGTTTTAAACTAATTTGTTTCCAGGGCCTCCAGCAGGCCATGACTAATGAAACGTTGATTAAAAGTTTGGAGCATAGTTCCAATTATATAATGTTCTTAAAGTGAAGTTGCAATAGTAGGCAGCACGAAATTTAATCTGAAATCGACCCATTCAGAGGATAGGGTGGCCGTTCATTGCGCATTTTTTAATAAAACTGTTTAAATCACGCTAATAAAAGGCTGCGTGCAGATACATTGGACACATTTTAGCCGTAACCACCCCTGGCAATTAGAATGTATTTCCCTGGAAAGCCACCAAAAGTTATTTTAATACGCTCAACTTAAAGAAATATCATATTGCTCACATTTCGTATTCAAGGGAATGAGAATATTTTGATTATCATTCCAATACGCTAGCAACACTGTTCGAGAAGCGTAGGATCCTTCGATCTATCAGCACTGCGCAGAATTTTCCCAAAGTAATGTGCATCTGTCAATTTTATGGACACCAGGAGTATTCATTACAGATTCGTCAAGTGATAAGGGAAATCATTTTAGATTACAAGAGAAGCGTATGATTTGTGTGCGTCTTTTAAAATGAACATGCAATTTGACCTCAGAACACCATGGATATAGTGCATTCTACTTTAAAAGCGTTTATTTGTTAAGGAAAGTGGGCAGCATATTATTTTGCACAGTTTACACAAGAAGTTAATATTTTGTGCATCTTTTATTAGAAGCATGCATGAACTCATACGAGGACTACAAGCCAATTTTTGGGTACTCTTGGGCAAAGCATTTGCTGAAAGCAACAAACGTCGATGGAGAAAAAATACTGAACCAAGCACCTAATAAACAGTATGTGTCATATGACTGTTATTTTTGTTAAAAAATGCGAAGTAGACCGTCAGTCACTGTTTTACGAGGTGTATGCATCCAGCACTCACTTAGATAATTTGACACGTTGTGTATTCGCGCAGTCAAGCAGTGAACTAACGTCACCCAAAGCTAAACATTGTATTAGTGAAGGCAATTATGGGTGATCAGTAAGTGACCATCTTTCATACATACCGAGTTACTTCGCAAGTTTAAACTAACCAGACCCTTAGATTTGCAAAGACCTAAAGGGTTCACGTTCACCGATCCTTTTGGATAGTAGGACGAACCGCCAGCCATTTCGGTTTGTCTAGAAATCTAATCCATTTCTTACACAAACGGCAGTTTAGCGTCAGGCATATGACCAAAGACTGACTCAGCGACAACAACAAACTAACTAACAAAACATCATTCAAGCCTCTCTGGTTATTATCGCTAAGACTTTCTCATTTTGGATAACTATCATCAAGACCAATATGCAAAAACGTATCTTCTTCATGGGGCACCAAACCAAAGTCACTTTAAATAAGCTCTTGAGAATTTCGCCTGAGTAAACAGGAAATGGAGAATTCTGGAGTTATTAGGCTACCATAGCATGAACGACTGTTCGTTAAATCAGCTATAGGACCACAGTACTATGTTTAATTTCCTATTAAATATTTCTGTTTGCATGTACAAAATTTAGATTTATTGTGTACTTTTAGAGACCGCAGGACTCTATAAGATACCCATTGTGTAAAATTGGACGATTGCATGAAAGCATAACAGAAAGTCTTTGCACCACTCAAATGTCTTAAATCTGGGCTGAAGGCTGGCCTACGCGTTCGGACGCATCAGAATATTTGTTCCGGAGCCACCTTTGGAATCGCATCAACCGAGCTGCAAAAGTTAAATCCACCCCACCAGCGACGATCTCCACCCCAAAACACTTATCAAAATTTTATCTGCATAACAATAGGAGCTGTGGACGTGGTAGAATTCCACGCATGGGTTGCATTCACGAATTAATCTCGGCTGCAAGGAAAATAACACTGACCGCCATCTTTAGGGTTCTAGCCTACAGCCGACACAGGCTGCCATATAGCAAATACCAGCAAACTAAGCTCTTATCGACAAATAAAAGGGGACATGGGAAGAGCGTCTACTGGCTTTTTAGCCATTATCAGTCCGTCATTACCCAAAACCTTCAGTAAGAAGTCCCACAAGCAGCAATATGGCAATGAGTAATAAATAATGCAAAATGCTACAGAAGTCACCTTCAACGGCATAAAAAGAACGCGAATCCCCGTAAATGCAAAGGATTGATCAAATGCTCGGCGACCAGACCTTACTTCAATCCTTGATCCTTCTGGTCGGCGTTTAAGGAACGGCTGTCAATGACGGTTAATTCTGATGTGGCGTTTACAGTTTTTCGTCTTTTCATAACCATTCTGACAGAAAAGACTATTATCCCTCCGGATTTGAAGTAAAAGTGTGTAAACTCCCTCGGAAATCTGTCACGAAACTAGACTTTGAAGGCTGTTTTATGAAAACGAACTTTTCGTTAGAGTGCTTGATTCAAGGCTCACGACTTGAAGTATCTGAGCTAGGTTTGTAAAATGCTCTTTTGCCGTTTTCTCTTTCGCAGAATACCACTTTAATTTTCTCATTATCCAGCTGCTCATATAGCTTAAATTGGATTTATTTCTCCAGATAACTGTGGACGTCTTATTTAATGTTAAAACCACTTGGGGTAACAATTGGGCGATGTCACCCAAAAAATCCGCCCAACCAAAGCAGCCTGTCTTAAGGGACGGGTGGTAATAGGGGTTTTACGGGTGGGGCCTTCGATTGCGTGGATGAATATAAATAATACTAAAAAGTTTTTTCAGAAATGGCTTTTCGAACGATAAAGTTTAACCTCATCACTATATGGCAACAAAAATGTACGCGGTGTCGGATTTACTTGAAGAGGCAGATAATATGAAGTCGATCCAGCTCGTATTCCCTGCTTAATTGCTTTTTTAAATATGGGATTGAAAGCGGAATGCAGTTGGCTAAAAGAAACGTTCTACGTTGTGCTGTTCATGACCCTATGCCTTCATATCCTCGCTTTCAAAACTGCACGTTCAATAAACACAGAGAACGTGATTGAAAACACCGCCGCACTTGACCCCGACGAGAGTTGCCATTTTGTGAAATTGCTTAGCTGATGACACCGTCTGTCTAGGATTGTTTGCTTTTTAAGTTTTCCGGCCCTCAGTAAAATACCCTTATTTTATTCCTTTCATCAGCCTGTGGACGAACACTCATGCAGTCCTCCGGCATATTCTCATCGGTAACGGAATTTTTTGGGTGCCATCTCCCAATTTTTATCACAAAACTAATGGTCTAAACGTGCCTATGCATCGTGGCTTGCCATTTTGAGGTTTGGATTTTGTATAAACCTCAAAACGTAGATGCACTTTCAGTGTCAAATAAACCCAGAAAACTACCTTTGAAGGGCTTCTGTGTGGTTAAATTCTATTCCGTGTGAGTAACTCATGCTCAATGAAATCTGGATTACCGTCTCCAGAGATTTTTACTCGAAACACAATAGTCAATTTACGCGGATTGCAAATATGTCAATCCTATTCTGCCATACGTGTGATTTTAAATTACTTAATTTGAAATGAACTTTTAAATGCGCTGCTTGAAGTAACATGAAATCAATTATGAGAATGAGAGACTCACTTGATTTGAGGTTGGAAGACAGTCCAAAATATTAAGGATGAGCTTTGTTCCCATGTGAGAGTCGCCCGGCCCAGCTACTTGAGTGGCTTCGTAGACCATTGGATAGAGGGCATTAGTGAAGAGCGGTTCGGGAAGCTCCCGGAAAAAGTCCTTGACGGTTGCTGCAAATAAAAAGTAGTAATTTGGGAAGAAATTCACACTGCACTGTGATTTTATGGTCATTTTGCGTGAACTTGCATAACGGGAAAATAAAGTGCCGTACGGGCACGAGATATTACACATTGCCCCAACCTATCCCTATGAATAGTGACCGCCTGCCGCAACTGAAGAATAAAGTTACAAAGCGCGACTTTTCTAGCGATGGAGAGCCAAAGCGATCTCAACTACGCTATATCACTAGAATATGGTATCGGTTGATACCAGTATCCGCTATTCCCACTTTTAAACTGTTACCAATAATGTTATTGCTTTTAGTCACACGAAGAAGAAGCGCATATGCAGCCTCTGAGTCAGGAATTCCTCCTGCTGCAATTTACCCTGGTGGTTAGAGAGGTACGCGGTAGCAACCAACCTGCGTCCGTGAAGGAAACGATTCAAGACTTTGTCCCAACTAACAATATGTTAAAGCTCACCTAAGCTATCGCTTTCATTCGAAAGCTCGTTGAGGAAGTTTGGTGATTATTCATGAGCTTCAACACACACCGCATGTTTTCAACTAGCGTCTTTTGTGCATCAATTCTCAGGACTAATTAAAATTCCCCGTGCCTTCTTCATTTGTTATGCAGGCTACTTCACGAAAGTAGGTAATGCAGAAGCCGTCTCGAAAGTTTCCCGTCAGTCAACTTCTCCTTTTCTAAAGTGAAAAAGGCCGCTCTTTTATCAGTGTTAGAAAAACGGTAAGTACTGCAGGTACTGGTCAAAGCAATGCATAAAGTGCCGAACATATCGTATTCGTACACTAAATAAACTGCTCTACCAATTTAGTTTTCTCCGAGCATATCTATTAACCGATATTGCGAAAGCTATCTTGCGAATACGGAGCACGTTTCTGGTCTCTTTATCTTATAAGAGGAGAATATAACTTGCTCGGCAATTGATCAAAATGGCCAGTTTCCGGATAAATTTTATTTCGTTTAAAATTTTCTGAATGAAAATGGATAAGTCCACCTTTTTTAGTTTTTCAATCGATAGACAACTGTTATGTGGTGCTGCTGGTTACGTTGTGTGTCTTAACGCAATTTTGGATCATAGTCTGCGAAAACATTAATAAACTTGTGTACTTCTCAAAAAATGGCTTCATTATTTTTGCACCTGAAAGACATAGTGCCTTTTGCCCGGTTAAAACAAACTACTTTTTCTTCTGTCGAAAAAGCGTCCCAGTTTTAGTCACAAAGGCCTTAATTGCCAGTTGCTGAGTCTCGGAAAACTGAGTATTGGTGCCCATAAATTCAATTTCTTTTGACAAATCTACCACACTCATTTCGATGTTAGAACCGTAAACCCAATTGATGTTTTAGTTTTTTGATATAAATGTCGTCTGCAAAATCAGTAAAAAGGCGTGAATCACTTCCCAACCTTACATTCATTTTACAAACTGAGTAGCTTTGCAAGTAATAGGAAATAGCAACATAAAATTCGTTTTCTGGGTAGCTGTGATTCAAAATTTTAAGACAAAACGTATCTGAAAGTCAGTAAATTTGAAGTTCGACCCGGTACCCTCGTCATTTAAGGAGTGGATTGTATTTAGGATGGTATTTTTTAAATTTTGGCGAACTTATCTCCCTTAAAAATATACGATTGTCTTCTGACGATACTACAATCAACTTAAAATTGTTAACTATTATAGGCTAGCATATCGTACATGTAAAAAAGACGTTTTATATTTCTTTCCCTGGCACCGAGTTAACCTACTCAGTCTTGATCAGAAGCGTCATATGCAGCCGCTTCTTTACGTCCATAAGCAGTATTTGGAAATGTTGTGATCTTTCTAGGTGATTTTGGCAGTAAATTGTTTTTTGCGTGCATTTGACTCCCTAAAGTATCAGGAACATAGCAAGCTGTAAATTACTTTGATTAAAAGACAAAATAGATTTCTTAAAGCTTAATCCAATAGAGATTGTGCTAGGGAAATTTAGGATTAGGATTTCAAATAAGCCCTGCTGGCCTATATTACCTTGAGGAATTGTTGAGACGGATAAACGACTCAGTAGTTAATTTTAAGATGCATTTCTGATTTCATTTACCTTAGACGCACGTAAAAAATAGTTTGTTTAGTCTACCCATATTTTTACCTTTTAAATAGGATCTAAAGCCACTTTTGAGACGAGTACTCTATATTCTGAAATAATCATTTGAAAGATTCTACTAAATTCAGGGGTATATTCTGGCCGAAGACTAAACCGTCTTGCCATATAACACTGAAACCTGCTTGAGTCATAAAATTACGGTAGTTATTAGTATGTCAGATAATTATAGAAAACGACTAGGGTTGTTGATTATATAAAAGTTTGTAAGCCATCGTCTTTGAGAAACACAACAGTCTGTGTAGGGGGAACTGGCGGTAAAATAGAATCTTGATTAAATCCACATGGCTGGCGTTGATCTGAGTCGTTCCAATCCGGGTGATTTATTTCTCCGATTCGATCATAGAGATCGTAGACAGGGCTGACTTTGGAGACTACCAAGCTTTTTATGCGCGTCTGTAGTGTCATTCATGTGACGCTTTTTCCTAACTGAATCGGCCCATAATCAGTTGGCCAACTGTGATCTTTTTCGAATGCACCAATTTATTGCCGAATTACATTCATCAAACATTGTTCATCCAGGCTCTCTGACTGAATCTTCTACCGCTGAACTTCTAGTGATTTAACTTTCCACCAAAAGAAACAGAGCATAAAATAAAGCGTGGCCACAGAAAGATCTATGTTCGTCGTAGTTAACTTTGTCCTGGACATTTCCTCACGTGTGATGCCGTTCAATGCATTACCCGGCAAGGCAAGGAAGAATCAGTAGAGACGAATAGAAAGTTATTCCTGGGTTCAAAATCGAGAGGGAGAAGCAAACTTGACTGGTTTTACCAATAGTAGTTAGTGTAACTTCAGCAGACATAGAGCTTAATTTAATTCCCCACGAAAGGAATATTTTACCATATCGATGAGAAGACACCCAGACGGCTCGCATAACGAGTGTCCAGCACCTGCGCATGTTAACGGTTGAACAATCGCATAATTGATTTGTTAATCTGGCGGAACATTCGAATAAGGTTTTTAATTTAACTCGTCGAACGCGCATCTAAAATGACGGTCTCATATGAATTTCCGCGAAAATTTCTCGTAGTTGAAGAATTGGTTGACTACAATGCCAACTGGGTTTGCATTGATGATTCTGGCAGCACAAGGATACAACGAGTAGCTTTTAACTTAAAAAGCAAAAAAGCTTTTAGAGAGAGTATGAATGTATTGTTGGATACAATCAAATTTAAAGAGGCGAAGTTCTGTACTAACGGTAATCTTTTGAATACAGGAAAACGAACTCCAGGTAAGAAACAACCTGATAACTTATAATTCTATAAGGCCACGTTGCTTCTTCTATTCCTGGTCAAATTTGAAACTGTTATTTAAATTTTTAACGGGGGTTTAATGAAAAGTTTCACAAACGCTGGTCGGTCAGCTGTTCTGATACTAAGGTTTAACTGACTAAAAATATGTTTTTTATCCATGTCTTTAGCAAGCGAAGAAAATCCTTTCCCTGACAGACCCTTTCAGTTCGAAATCTGAAGCTCTCTTGAGTCCATACAAATGCTCCATGGATCGCTTACGCTCGAAATCGTCCAAGGAATGAGAGGAGGAAGAAGGAGAAGACAAACACCGAAATAATGGTTGTGATAAATACGAACTTAAGCAAGACTAAGGCCACAAGTGCCGGCAGCTGACGAATGAGGAGGCAAATACTGAAGAAAGAAAATGGATGAACTACAGATGCTTATTATGGTAACGAGGAAAAAATAAAGAAGATAAAGAGAAGCGGGGGAAAGAAGAAGAAATCGTAAAAGATGAGGGAGGAGGAGGAGGAGGAGGAGGAGGAGAGAAGGAGATAAAAGAGGGCAAGGCAGAAAAGTGGAGGAAGGGATGGTATACGTGATTATTATGGTGATTCTGCTGCTGCTGCTGCTGCTGCTGCTGATGATGATGATGATGATGATTATGGTGGTTTTGGTTGTGGTGGTGGTGGTGGTGGTGGTGGTGGTGGTGGTGGTGGTGGTGGTGGTGGTGGTGGTGGTGGTGGTGGTGACGAAGCGGAGGGAGACGATTAAGAAGGTGCTGACGGCAACAGCCACGACAACCATACACAGATAGACTACAAAAAAGGCTTTAGTGAAAATATGAAAGATTATTAGACATGGGGAGGAAGAGGCTGCCGATTTTACTGATGTGCCTGTGATTTGAGATAACATAGCCGAGTAGTATATAGTGGAGAGGGAAAGAGTATTCAAGGGACACATCCCTTGTTGACCACATCATCAGCCTAAAATGCTTACCAATGCTGTCACGGACAGAGCTCTCAAACCACAATGCGAGGCCTATGGACGCAGATTCATGCTGTACGCTGGATTTTAACTCTCGTCGCTGAACTGCCAGTTTTGTTTCCTGTGGACTTCGAAGTAACTTTTAAGATATTTTATATTTGTAAAATACGTTGCAACCTATTTTTTTTTCAGGAAGTACACGGCTACATACAGGTCTCCTTCAGGGATTCTGACCTCTGCAGCAGTTGCAGTTCAATTATCCGATTTTTAGCTGAGCCTGCCAGTTTATATTAAGCGCAAACGTCATCGCAAAATAGAAATCTGGATGTAGAGGTTTTAGTGGTCCAGGGCGTTTGCGTGCGCTTATAGGATTGTACTTTTACCTACACGTTCTCTCAGGATCTCCACTCCGGACCTTACAATTCGCTTTAAATTGGAAGCTTTAACTCATTTTACACTGTCAGATCACCAACGTTATGGCAGAGCGAAGCGAAGCTCACTTGGTTCTATGCCGCCTTTGCAAGTTATCATCGTTCTTTACATTGCCACGATCACTACCATGCTGAATGAACTGGAAATACCTTTCTAAACACTAAAGAGGTTGATTGTTGGCGTCCCTAGAAGCAACATCGACAAAACCTCAGTCAGGTCAACAGGTAAATCAGTTCGGCATTTAATATAGGTGGTGCCATTACTCTATGCCCAGCGTTTAAAAATCAAGATCGGTGGAGCGATCAGCAAAGGAAACACATAGTTTGAATAGACGTATCATCTTATGGGAGCTGCGTACAATGAACCACCCATATTACAGGATTTCATCCTTTTCGATCTAGTCTAGAGCCCTCCCAGATGGCCTCAAATGGCGAGCACTCATGACTAACAATAATAAGGGGTGGTTAGGACAGCCACTGTCAGTCCTTGTTCAGAGTTAAACAAGGACAATCAGAGGCCTGAACCGGGACTCTTTGGAAAGTAAAGAATAAATAAGGAATCTGGCAATCATTCACGATTCTGGAGTTTAGTTGTGACTGGCTGGCTATGGAAAGTACACCTCAAGCGTTCTCTCCTCCATCATGCGATTGCGCAAGCTGGTTTTGTGCACACAGAAAAACCAGGTGCAAGCCCCGTGTATACCATGACAAAGGCCGATTAACTGCATATAATCTTGTGCGCTCCTTCCCCTCCCCCTCTGACATGGCCCGTCCTAACCTTCACTAGTTCACAACTCACTGTCCCTTATACTCTTCCCCCCTATTCGCACACCCAATAGTATTAAAATACAAATATTAATCGATGTATCTTATCCCTCACGTGTTTTACTTGTATCCCGTTCCCGTATAAACGTACTGGCCTGAGAGGAATTTATCGAAGTCAAACGTATGCCTGCCAGGTAATCTTCCGAATCCTTTAATTTTCTTAGTTTTGTGGCCTAAGGACTAGATCCTTCTCTAATTCAGACCACGTGAGGGCGGACTACAAGTAGGGAACGCTATGACATCAAAAAACATCATGCACTGACCGAACAGCGGATGTGAAGCGACACGCTGCAGGCTAGTTTAGGCGAGCGACACAGAAAACTAAGTATATATGAGTAATCTCCTTTGGGATGTTTGCACAGAACTTCACAGGATTCGATTAGAGTTCAAAAGCATTAAACAATATATTTTTCAGCAGAAGAATGACCCATCTTACTAAGTTGATTGTCTAAGAACTCCAAATAATTTCCGGCAGCATATAGTCTTTTTTAACCATCTTAAAAGCGTGGAATCAAACCCATGAGACGCAAAGTTTGTCACCCTCAACGCCGTCTGCCTCTACTTCCGTACCGACACAATCCGAAGCCTTGTCTACGAGTCTTTTCGGTGTCCTTGGTAAATATGGCAATTCAGAAGAAGAAGAAGAAGAAGAAGAAGAAGAAGAAGAAAAAGAAGAAGAAAAAGAAGAAGAAGTTGATGATGATGATGAGGGGAGGAGGAGGAGGAGGATGACGATGATGATGATGATAATGATGGTGATGATGATGATATCACTGGAACAAAAAATTTATTGCCCTGGCATTTCCGATTCTCACTCCAACGTATCACCAGAAAATACCTCAGACGATATGTTCGAATGAGAATCCATAACGTCAGGCCAATAAACGTCTTGTTCCAGTGATCGCATTTTCTTCTTCTGAACTGCTCTCTGGAACGCCTGTTTGCTTCTTTTGGCAAATTCAGCAATGGATGCCTCGTAATACCTAGCAAGCAGCTACGCTGCCGCCATACATTTTTAGCCTCGTGAGTCAATAAGACGATGTTTCGTCCAGAACTCAGCCAATAATAAAAATTGCACTTTCTGTCGAACAACGTATTCGCAAACAACTGGCTTTCAAAATGCAAAACGATGGTGGAAAATGGTTCGGAGCGAAATTAGTACCAATGAACAACGGATCAAGGACTTGCGGCAGTGAACTCCATGAATTATGAATAGCGTGAATACGATATTCCGCCTGCTGCAAGTAACGCTGACCGACACTGACTCAGTAGCAACAACAATAAATCACATTTGAGTTTCTATAGTGGAGGTAAAAGTAACATTATCTATTCTCCTCTGTTTCCGCACCCCTTTTCCAAGATCAGGATAATATAAAAACGAACCGGAAATGAGTATGGGCGCAGTGGCGAACTTAGTATAAACTTCCAGTTTACGCACGCCACTAAAATTGTTTATTGCTAATAGTTAAGTGGACTGGCGGACACTACTTGATCAAGATGACTGGCCCCATCCAACTTTCTCTGGAACCAATTACTGAGGTTCAGAAGACCGAAAGGCTACCAAACACTTGCTGAACACTCCAAGTACAAAGGTCGGTGCATCTGCAAAGACCAGCTGATTGACATCACTGACTAAAAAGGGGAACGCCCTACGATTGTGTCTTTAGTTGACTTGCCGTCGGACTAGCGGCAAAATCGATGGCGGCTGCTTTATGCCAGAATTCACATGGCGAGCCCCGGGAGCATATTCCGAAGCCCCACCACCGCAAATATCATGGGCAATAATAAAAGAGGCGGATGACATGTTTGGTTTCGTCAACAGCATTTTTGGTGTGAGTATTGTGAGGGTAATACACCGTCTGCAAAAATGTATACTTGACCGAATCATTCGCTGCTCTCGAGGTGTGTTGACATTTACGATTTCCCAGCCGATTGTTGTCGATAATAGAAGCCTGTGTGAGGTCCAGTGAGTTACCGATATCATGAAATGTTGGCTAGAATTTGGCAAAGCGTTTTCGATTAGGAAGGATTGCTTAGGCGCAGTTATAATAGTGATTATCTTGCAAGATAATCCAAATAACATTTTGGACTTTGCAGGATGTCAGCTGCTGAATGTAGTGCCTTTCAATTTCATGTAGAAACCGTACTCGGTAAAAAATGACTACTTGGGTGGCATGCATTTTTCAAATTGATTTTCGGTGGTTTTTTGAATTCAAATATATTTTATAGAGACCACGAACAAAAATATGCTTTCTTTCAGTTTTCTGATAGAGAACTACGTCTTCTTTATATTTTCTACTTGAAAAAGGAGCATAAATAGGTTTTAAATGTTTTTAATTATGAGATTTTTTAAGACCGCGCAATGTTCATTCGTACAGCGTCGTACTTGTCCGTTTACTACTGATCCTCGTGAAATGCACAGCATGGTCCGCATCCATTGCAAAGTTTTGTGGATCCCATATGGTATCTTCTTAAAGGCATAGAAGAATATGGGATTTTCTTTGTGCGGAACGCATGCACCTTTCAAACTGAAATCACTAAGCGCTAATGCAACGACTGATCGGGCTCCAAATTAGGCTAGATCGCAGTTGGTAGCCAGGCCCCCTATTACAGGTGGCTGGGGGTTTTTTTACTGGGACTTTTTTGGGGGGGTGCATAATTACATCTGATCGATTTGGCTTCCGTTTTACGTTTGAGGTTAGGATAAGGGTATCGGTTAATGATGTCCGATTTTCGGGTTAGAGTTATGCTCTTTAGGCTTAGGTTTTCGGGTCACGGTTAGGGTTTGAGTTCATGACTAGGCTTCAGTGTTGCAGTTAGGTTTTATAGTTAGGTCTATGTCTAAGGGCTACGGTTACGTTTACGATTTCGGTTAAACTTAGGGTTAAGGTTGTCGTTAGGGTAAACGGTTAACGCTTAGGGTTAAGGTTACGGTTAAGGTTAAGATTAGAATTAGGGTTAAGGTCGCCCTTCCCCATTCCTGGCTACCAACTGTGATCTAGCCCCAAATTGTTCCAGAATTACAAAACTATTTTAAATCGAATTATAGTCCTTTTCAAGTGTAAAATATAAAATAACGTATTTCTCTATCAGACAACTGAAAGAAAGCAGATTTTCGTTCGTGGTTTCTATAAAATTTATTTGAATTTAAAAAAACCACCAAAAATCAATTTGAAAAATGCGTGCTACCTAAGTAGCCATTTTTTACCGAATGCGGTTTCTACTTAAGATTGAAAGGCACTGCATTCAGAAGCTGACATCCTGCAAAGTCCGAAATATTATAGGATTATGCTGCAATATAATCAGTATTATAACTGCGTCTAAGTAATCCTTCTTAGCCGAAAACTCACTTCAGAATTTCAGCCAACACTACATGAGATCGTTCACTCACTCTATTTGTGGGTCCTTGTCAAATCATGACACTGCAGACGACAGCTGGGCATTTCCTGCTCCATTCATAGCCTTAAGCGTAGTTCACACCCTGACGTCGGCAATTGTTTGGTAGGTCATGTGTCACAGAATATCTCTGATTAAATTTCTTCGGCGTTTTCTTGGTGGCCTGCGGTCAACGCTCAATTATCGCAGGGCACTATTTTATCTGGTATACGGCCTTATTCCTTGAGCTTAGACGAACGGCGGATTACAAGTTGGCTTCTGGAAACAAACCGTCTAAGATATGTGGAGCGTTTCGTGGCTTGTATAGTTTAAAGCGGATTTCGAGAACATACGTTTGCTCTTTGGTTTGCTGTTAATTTTACAATTACCTATACTCGCACCAAAATCACTCGCACTGTTGTCTTCCCCAGGCGATTGAATGCATTTTCATCTTCATAAGGTGACATACGAGATTTAAAATCAATTTTTCAAATAACACGAAAATGCGATTGAATAACCAGTGCTGGGATGAGCATATTTAGTTCACTTACCGCCCTCACCCAGTCCTAAGCCAGGAAATCTTAGCTAACAACTTTGATTAACGACTCAAGACACTTAGAGAATATTTATCAAGTGGCGTTAAAGAATAGTTCCGATATGCGTTTAACATTTGCGATGTGTGAGTCATAAGCAAATATATATTTGAACTACCGATTCCAACTGAAACACTCCGAATAATAAAATGGACTTTTCTAGACATATATTGATTGTATGGACGACCTTCTTAACATTTTACCTCAACACTTTAAGTGTCATCAGACAGATGTAGAGAAAAATCTTTGTTATCTTGCTTTATAGAGATACCACAGTTTTGCGAATGATTCTCTTAAACTACTGAACGCGCCCATGTGTATATGCCACGTATATTTTTACTTTTTAAGGGATTAACGGGAGCAAATGTGAAGTACACAGTAAGTGCAGCTAACGGAAATGTTTGCATATGCCACTGTTTCTCCCAACTCTAATATTCTTGCTTGCCAACTGCTGCAGAATTTACAATGGGCAAACAAAGGAGACACATTCCGTGCGTCCAGGTTAGGTCTTGCTTATATGACAAACTGGCTATTTATGACTGGCCATGTCCTACCTGTTATTGCATGTATGTCTGGAACAGAGTCGGCCGAGAGATCGAGGGTAGCCAGTGCGACCTTGACAGCCTTTTCATTCTGCTTGGATATGCCCTGAATAATCTTGTCTGCTGTCCTTGTGAGCAGTTCTCGGACCTGTAGTTTCATCCACACAGAACCGGAAAGCCGGTAGATGCCGACGACATCGGTGCCTCTCCGATCCACTTCCTCCACACACTTCCTTATTAAGAGCGGCACAGCGTGACTCAAATGATCATTAGGGGGGGGCGGGAGCAAGTCTGTAAGGAGTCTGTTTCTGTACATGAGTTCATCAAGCGATACACCAAAGAGGCCTGCCTCGTAGGAATTGGTGAAATTTCGCCTTACATAGAGGCTTTTCAAGGGAAGAATGCCCATTTGGAGGTACATAATCCCTTTGGGCTCTAATTGGAGGGCAATTTTTTCAAACCGAATAGCCGAATTGGCAACAATTGGACTTGTAAGAGGTTTGTTTTCGGGCTCTCCCGCCTGCTGCTGTTGTTGCTGACTGAATTCAGACTCTGAATTCATGGACAGCAACTGTCGCCGTTGCCTGATAAAGGAGCGCAAATCGATACCACCGTAAAAGCAAAGCCGATGACGAGTTCTTGGGTCCCACTGGTAAACGAGGAGGGAAAGGAAGCGGCTTTCTTCGATTTCAATCTCAAAAACTTCATCCCACTCGAAGAAGTCCGTATTAGTCCGGATCATAGAGCGTGCCTTGCGTACAGAGTCCGTCTCTAGAACACAGTAGAGGTCCCGCAGGAGCATCTGTGAGGTCTTGAGACCACTTCCGGCAATCACGTTGACTACCAGGAGACCTGCAGTCTCCTCCGCGGATGGCGTATGAGAGTGGATTCGCTTTTCCGTTACGCCCGACTGACGAAAGCGAACCTGTTCAGGAGAGTCGCGACCTACACCGGGCCTCGGGGACTGGGGAGACAGCGGTTGCTCAGAGGACAAGGGGTACGGTTCGCTGGAGAGGAGATTGAACTGGCTAGCAAGTATATTTGCGGTTCCATCAGTTCGTCGGGCCTGCGTGAAAGATGAAGAGGGACTGAATGTGAGCTCCTGACTTTCTACAGGGCCTCCGGGTACAGATGCTGCGCCTGCATCCCCTGCTGACGCAGTAGCGTTCTCCTGAATAGGAAACCTTTGTCCTGCGTTGGCGGATAGTTCCGTGGTTACTGTAAAAACAAGATAACAAAGTATCGCAGACAGCTAGAAGGAGTTTAAATGTCAAAATTCGAGTTAGTCGGCATGTCCATTCATACTGTCAGAATCTCAAACTATACCACTTTGTCAGCAACCAGTTCCTACGGGCCGATGGGTACAGGTGCCCGATAATGTGACTACGTTAATGGTTTAATGAAAAAAACATGATGCCGTTAACTACTTCCTCTGTGGTAAAAGGGCTCAGCATACCTTGGCACTTTTTGACCTTAATGAAGTTCTCCTTCACCTATTCTACCGACCGCCTGATTACGAACATTTTTCATTTGTATCACTAACGGTAAAGCATCTGTTTACCACATGGAAAACTTGTAGTGGTGATTATGTTGTCGAAATCTTTCCCAGTCTCATTTTAACTCTACCCGGACGCATCTTTTCTGTTAAACACACTTCCCCATGGTGTTTATCCGTCTACATAAAGAACAAACTCAGTAGTCTGCTCTAAAGATGCCAGACAAAAGGCCATTTCACATCTTCTTAGAGGTTTGAACAATATGCTCCACAAAACTAATGCAGAAATGGTAAACGTAGTCCACTTTTCATCTGTAATACCTCGCGATTAACGTTTGCTTTTTGTTATTTAGCCGTTTGAGTGAACTTGAAATCAAAGCCCCAAGGCGACACAGAGTTGCCTTATAGTTCACTGAACAAACAAGGCAAACAAGTGAAGGTCCTTCCGATGCGATGTTTGTTGCCAACTTTCAGAATAGCATGGCTTATATGTTTAGAGGACTTACCTTTCTGGTTTGAAATCCAACCCACATAAGTCATGCCCACAAAGAAATTCCTCGGAATACCCGATAATGCGGAAAGGCTTTCTATTCTTTGTGCCAATTCAAGTTCAATTTCACCCTCCAGGAGTCCGAAAATGTCTTAGGTTTGAATTTGATATGATTTTAATACTGGATGACCTATCTTCTAATTTGCCGATTGGATATGGTGACTAAAGCAGCTTTTCAGCAAACGTTTCTCAGAGTTTCAGGGTAGCCCGTTTGAAAAACATTACCTCACGAGCCACTTTTAGAGCACGTTTGAGTCTGCGTTGCAAATAGCCTAATTTTCTGACTGTTTGCCAGTATTTTTCAAAAGTCAGGACAGTTTTCTTTTACTTCATTGACGTCTTTGTTAGTCAATTACGCCGATCGTGAAGATCCAACCATTTTGAGCACAGGGAATATGGGCATTACGGCACGGTTTAACATTACAACGGCTCTTCTTCACTATTGCTCCGTAGCATGCAATCTCAATAGAATGCCAGTGTGCCTTCCAAACTACAAAAATTCCTTAGTAACATAATGTGCTTGGGATAGTTTCAGCGCAACTTTCAATACAAAGCTCACACATCCACAATATTACAAAAAATTTGAAAAAAATGTCGATTTTAAAAATAATGAAAATTTTCTATCTACATTCGGTTAACTTCTACATACTAAGTTTGTATGTTTATTCCGCTGAGCGGCTATTGAGGATTTTCACGCTAAATAAACTTTCACCTTCAAATTAGTTGGACGGTAGTTAGTTTTCAATGAAGCTTATTTGGTCTTGCGTATTTTTTGAGCCATAGAGTAAAAGATTTTTCGGTCCGTTTCTTTTCTGCCCGTTGATGGAAAGCAAAAGTTACAATGTCCATCAAACCGAAAAATGGTATTTAAAACGCGTTCTGGTTTTTGAATGAAAGGTGTACTAAATCAGTGCTGCTTTGAATAAGTGTATAACATAGGTACGTTTGATTTAAATCGATTTTCTAGGGTTTGTTTTTTGATAGAGGATATTTTAACTAAATGGGGAAAAATATTTCCTATTTAACAAAATTTCTTTGTGGGTAAAAAAATTATCTTTAGAGCAGGTTTTTCGAAAACATTTACGTGGCTTATAATCTGTTTAAAATTGCTACAAACTGCTGATCAGAACCAATGTTACTGCATTTACTTATGCTTCTTTTAGAATTTTTATGTTCAACTGTGCGGGACTTGACATGGTCTGCAATTTTCTTAATAATTATAAGCATATGTAAACGAGGAATCTACACAACAAAACAGGAGCTACTGAGTGGACTCGAACTACCGATCTCTCGAATTCTCGGTAAATGCTCTAACTCTAAGCTGCGGATATCACACCTTCCAATGCCGACAAAGGCATGCTTCCATTAGATAGGAGCCGTTTTCTGAAAATATGCGTAATTTACCATTTTGACAGGAGAGTAAGGAGACGTATCGATTATTCATTCATATAGCAACAAATTCGCCGCGCACATTTGCGTGGTATATCAGCTGCCCAGAAATTCAGATGTCCAGATTTCGTACACTTCTAACAACATTGCATTTTGTTTGTCGCAGTCCTTATATCAAGTAGTCTCCTATAACTAGACTTATCCTTTTATTTCATCCCGCCATAACCAAAAGCATATAGCATGGCTTCAGACATTGTATTCTACTGTGAGTTAGGAAATTAAACCCATTACCAGGCCCATCTCAATCAATAGGGAAGAACACACATTTTTTGATTGGATGATAAAAATGAAGAACAAGTTAGCGAAAGCAATAAGTTAGAAACGGCCTGTTTAATGCGCGATGTTCAATAATCTTAGAGAAACATATTATTTAAATCGACTATCTTGAAGGGCTCTTAGAAAGAAGGTCAACTCAGTGGAGATCAAACCTAAAATAATCCACTTTTGCCAGTACACGCACATAGCAATGCAAAATACGCCTTCCCGAACATATAATTTCGAGTATAGTTTTTGAAGTCTAGGGGTTGGCACTTACATCTTATTTGTGTGCAACGCGAGGTGATATATGTGAAACATTACATCGACCGACTGAACGTACTGCAGTTAGTGGCGAAGTAGAAGGATAAGACAAGCGCCTGGTCATCAGGAGTCTGATACAAGAGACCATTAGTTGCGTAGATGTATGAAATCTGACTTTCACTCACAAAATTGCCTGTAAACTATGTCACTGTCGATGATCACGTTTAAATCCCATTGCACAAAAACTTGAAGCTTAATAAAAGGCCTATCTGGTTTGCGTTGTTTCCGCAGCAGCAGAAAGTTCGGTTTGTTAAAATTACACGTACATGATGAGTTTCATAGATGAGCATTTGAGCCCCAATTACAACGAAATGTTTGAACACAGAGAGCTGCGTCCTCAGATGTGCTGGTAGTATTTTCTGTAATTTTGAGTGACACACACAGAGGCTTCATCACTGCTTTGTGATAAGTTGACTGAAATGGAACAGAAGGCGGACGGTTGCCCCTCATATGCGACAAAGATTATAACTGCTCCGATGGGCGACTACTTGTAACTTCCGTCTAACCTGGGTTGTAAATGGGGAATTGCTTTTCGCCTACTTCATTCTCTCTGACTTCAACCAAATGATAAACCTCATTCAAACCGATTGGTGATTAATTCGATCCCAATGGCTGACGTCACACAGTCTATGCTTATCGCATGCCATACGCGAGCGCCACATGTTTCGCAAAGAATAATTTGAAATCCTTGAAGTCACATCTTACACAGTCTGGTAAAGGTTGATGCCGTCGGATATTCAAAGAAATTCAAATATGGCGAGGTTTGGTTTTGCAGCCCCACTTTATCGATACCATATGGTTCGCTTACTAAAATAATATTAGTTAACATACCTAACTTAGCCACTCGCTGGATCAAGAAGGGAAAGAGATCGCAAGTAGAGCTCGAAGCATGCGCAGGGATGCGCGTGAAGGTGACGTGTAAACGTTTTCCTCGCGACACAGTCACTCGCTGGATTAGTAAGATCAGGAGGATGCAATCACAACTGGAAGGCCAGGGGTGGAACCGCGTGGTAATTTGCAGTGCATGGCCACTGAATTAGAACTAACGGAGTTCCAGTGCGTCCGAAAAAATCCATTAGCAGGCCTACTTAGCTACTTGCTGGATTAGGATAATAAAGAGGACGAAAGCGGGACTCGAAGCACACACGGGAAAGCACGTGCGAACTGATATCTGAAGTAAGCGAGGCTGGCGTATAAGCACTCCGCTCTCCTGTGGCACAGTTACTTGCTAAATTAAAATGGTATAGAAGGTGCAAGCACGTGAATTTTATAAGGTCAGTGTACTCGAATTTACTTTAACTGTTTTAGTAAGCTACTCGTATGGTAACAATTAAGTGGGGCTGCAGAACCAAACCTCGCCGAAATATTTTTGGAAATCACTAGGCAGGACTGTATTATATGTTTACGTCTAGGCCCCCCCCCGTCAACCAATACTTTCCTTTATCCGTAATAAAGTCGTCGGACATGTGAAAACTGCATAATTATTCAGCAGAAAGATTCTCGATTTCCGGGGTTTCGCATATCTAGTAGACTTTGATGTTCTTGAAGGACTTAAAAGGTTGTGTGGTTACACGTAGCACTCTCACTAGGAAAAGAGGTTCGTTTCATTAAGTAGACGAGACTACATCTCCTATGTTTTTTCGTAATGCTTGTACCAAATTAATTTAGCAAATAACCGGCCCACTTACATGTGTTAATATTTTGCAAATCACGTTTTTGCATACGGTTTGTATAAAGGTTACGCAACTCGTGATAATGAGAATAAATGCCCATCCAAAAATGTGACATTCAGCACATTGATTTGAAGATCAAAATGCCTTGCTTCAGGGTTGCCAATATCGGTCGTACAGTGAAGTCTTGGGAAATATGAAAGCAAGTTAGCTGGTTTGCACTCGGGATCAGCATGACATAGCGATTCCTTGACGAATTAATTTTATATGCGTGAGAGGAAGAAGAGATTAATAACGACTTCTGCTAAACAACAAAATACAGCTCCGGAGAAAAGATACAACGACGAATGGTCCAAGTCTAACGTCCTTCCTGCTGTAACGTAAGCAGTCAGTGAAATTGTAAGTAATCATTGTGATATCTGAGCTTAACCTTATCAGATTTGGCAAATGCTGTAAATAAAAGAGGAAAAGCCTCGGTGGATATGGACAACCGCAAAGACCACAAAACTTGCATACTTAAAACACATGAAACGTAGTAGGTATTTCCCCAAGGGTCATTTATACTCGAACTCCTTTTGCCACGGGAAATATCTTCGTATTAGCTTTTTGACTTGCTATGTGAGGTCCAACTGACTCCCTAAGGAAAATTTTGGGAAGTAGAAATGCCTCGAAACCCATATCCTTTTAATTAGAAATCTGAAATGCCCCTGTCCTAAAAGGCAGTCGCAACGTAGGTTGGTAACTTTATTGCTTACCGTCCAGTAATCCCCCTAACGTAAGCGAATACGTAAGCATCGACTGGGAGTATAAGGAGGCATTCCCCTTTCACACCACCTGTAATAAAAAATTGAAGATTGTTCTGCGGTTGGATAATAGCTTGCCTCTTAGTTTTGCCAAGGAGAGACGTCTTATGTATATTAAAACGCCAAATTAAATTCTAAAGTACGGATGTTCTTCAGCAGCCCCGAAGACTCAGAGCTTTATACGGTGCACACATATCATTTAAAAGTACGAAAAACCAAAATAAAACGTGAACCACTTTTTCGGATTTCTTATGAATGATTTTATCTTAAGTGCAACAAGTGGTGAATTCTATTGACTTCTTTGCAAAATAATACTAAAAATTCATAAATACTCGAAAGTATGCCTGGCAATATAATTTGACCATAAAAGCTTTGCTCATTTTTTGTAATATTCTTGATAAGCACAGAGATTCCGAACACCCTTAGGATCACGATGATGTGAACATTTCCCTCTTTCACCAATTAAGCATGTTTTTGGCAAGAGTCAGAAAGTACTCTGTGTCACTCGTTCAATTTGCATTTTAACATTTTCGGAGGGCTTCCAGGGCCTACCTAAGTCCATATTGTTCGGTCTTCTTGCTGGAACATTGGAGTCTAAAAAGCCAGTTCGTCCATATACCAGAGATTCGGGACGTTGTCCAGCAACGTTGCTCCTTAAAACGGACTGTCTAGTGTCCATTTCTGCTGTCGGAAGACAGTTATAGTCCTCTAGAGGTAGTTGTGAAAGCTGTAAAGCTGCTCGCGAAATTTGCGAGGGGAGAGTACCCTCGAGGGATTTAGCCGAGGTCACGGGCACCGCTGTAGGTGGCGCAATCACGGGCCCCGGTCTGGGAACTCTGGAGGTGGTTGACTGAACAGCCGCCATCGCCGCTGCGGCTGCGGCCGCGGCCGCCGCGACCGCGCTGGCGGCAGCCACGGGCGGGTAGGGTTTGGCTGCTGGGGGCTGTGCAGTGGAAGTTAGAGCTTCCAGTGTGTCGTAAGGACTAATCTCAGTGTCCGACCAGTAGGGAAGGGAACCGTGGAAATGCGGTCTGAGGGCTCTCCGCGCAGTGACGGCACCTGTTGGCTGCTCCGAGAGATTCATCGTAGCATTTGCCGCTGCAGCTAGGAGGGCCGATAGGAGGGGGTTCGTTTGCGGCGGTGACTGGGGCTGCTGCGAAACAAAGCCACGCGTATTTGATGTCGTCTGATTCATCGGCAAGATGGCAGTCGTTTTTGGCGAACCCTGTATAGAGGAGTCCCTCTCGCATTGGATTCCCTTATCAAGAACGTCAGGAAAAGTACGTTCCAACTGCTGCATTGTTTGAAAGAAGTGCGCGTTACCCTCGAGTTCAGAGGGCCACCTGGGTAGTGGAGGACTTGAGGCCCGAAAACGTCTTGGGGACTTGACACTGGAGGGGGATGTGTCTGAGACCAACTCAAAAGCCTTTGAAGATAAACTCCTAACAAATGGAGGTCTAGGACGGTAGTTTCCTCCTGTTGAGGATATACCACTGCCATGAACAATGGCGTTCTCGGGCAGATTTCTAGACAGTGGCGTAGGCATGTGGCCCATGGGAGGTCCTCTCCTATAGGAGGGTTCGCTTCGATTTCCGAGTCCAAAGTGAACTCGCGGGGTTTGTTGCTGGGACGATTGGGGCATGACCGACTGTTGATGATGCTGCTGCTGCTGTTGCTGCTGCTGAGATTGTGACTGTTGAGAAGGTATGGGAAATCGTTGGCGGTCCCTAGGGGCATTGTATCCTGTTCTACAATTTCCATTACCACCAGACATTCGACTATACAAATCTGCTAAGAGTTTATTTGCAAGAACATCTGGTGGTCTCTCGGCAACAGTATCTTCGGTGTCGTCGCGGTCAGACTGATCGCCTGTAGGTGTTCTGTTAGGTGTGCAGTAGCGGCTAAATTGATTCGGAGGGTACTTTTGTGGATCTAATAAACACTCCGGCTGCGATTGTAGATATCCGTCAGTCTGTTGCTGATAAGGAGTGGGAGGATAACAGTGATGTTTTTCTTTGGAAGTTTGGGATTGCTCGCTTGATAACCCACTATCAATCGACTCCTCAGCCATCTGTGGGCGAACGGAAGGCAGCACCAACAGCTGCTCTGTTTACCCCGTAAAGCATTATCACCGTCGTCGTCGAAAACCGACGTTTTTTGGTGGGCACCCAACCATGATCCCTACCTGCTGCAGTCCTACAAACACGGGGCAGAAGTGGAAGGCAACAGCGGGTTGATTGGAAAACGCAGCAGGTAGATTATCGTTCCAGGTCGGTCCACTAAAGCGAGTAGCTACAAAGCAGCATTGTCCGGAATCTGTCTGCGCGTGCGTGGGTGTGTGAGTGGTGCATACGTCAAAGGCGCATTGGTTGGTAAAACTCTCCGGCTAGCTTGTTTGCTGGCTAGCTCACGTGTGTACGCACGCCCGTTTGGCAGGGAGTTGTAGGAGTGGAGTGGAAGAAGCGGTGGCAGTAGTAGCAGTAGTAGAAGAGCAGTAATGTAAGTTGCTTCCGTGAGCCGTCCAGCGCCGACGCTAGAAGCGTAATCCCTTCGCCGCCCCTCTGCTCTCTCGCACATCCCCTCGCCCATGCACGCGTTAAGCGAGCTGCTCAGACTGTCGGACCTCTGATTGGTTGGCCCTACCGGGACTCAACTACCTAAGTATCGACCCAGGCGGTAGCAAACAGTCCCAGCAGCAGGGCCGGTAGCTTGCGCGCCGTCTCCTGGTCTGGTTGTCGCTGTCTGCCTGTCTCGATTTTGTGTAGTTAGTTTTATCCGCACACGCACGCACACTCCCGGCGCTAGAACCAGCTCTGACTGTGAGCTGTGGCATTACTCGCGCCCACTATTGGCAGCGTCGGCATGGTGGCAACGAAGTGGCTATGACGAGAGAGCCGCGCACACGCATGCGCATGCGTGCAGCGTACTCGCGCCTTAACAAGTTGAAGGAAAACGAAATCGAAAAGGTGGTTGTAATTTTCGGTGACTACGGCCGCACACACACACACGCACACACCCCACCCCACGGTCCATTTCGCGCGTGCGGTGGCATGCTGTTCTCATGTGACTGAGTACGCTGGAAGCTCAAGGAAACCCCGCGATTGAAGGGGGTATTGAGAAGGGGGAGGGGACAGGAGGAGGAGTGAAGATGAAACTGAGCGCAGTCGGAAGACCGAGTAAAGTCTTGCTAACCGTGTTCAGCGAGGCGATTTGTCTCAACCCAGTCGGACGAGCTACATTTCTAGGCTCACTACCCTAGGAGGGGTGGTGGGTGAGGGCAGTCGTTTTGATCAGGGACAGTTTACACAGTATGAATTTGAGGGCGCTACGCTGGGGCGTTGCAGATCATTTCGCATTTAAGTCTAGAGACTAATCTGTATTTACCCCCATCTGGACTAAGTCTGCCTCCACATCTCCTGCTTCTGAAATGCGGATGTCCACTTACATAAATCCGCCGTAACACATCCTCCTAATCAGTAGGTCACTAGTAATGCTAAGAAGAGGCAGGAACTCAACGCTATTTTCCTTCATCTGGCTTTACCGGCTTGATGCACAATGGGGCAACTACTGGGGAAAGGGCCCAACCGAAACGGATGAACCAAGATCTCACAAATGAAGCCGGTGAAAGAAATCGTCGACTGGCCTTTGCAAAATAAAATTTTCCGCTCCCAGCAAGCTTTCGAACGCAAGCGCATAGAAGACAAACGTCCTCTGCCAGAAGACGTGAAACAAAAAAAGCAATTGTACAGAATAAAAAGGTGATTTTCAAGTTTTTCTTAAATGCTTACGCGCTAAGTTTTAGGGTTTCGCACTACAGACATGGTCAGGATTTATGTTATGGTAGGAGTCAACTACAGTTTTCTCATTGGGGTTACATACCATACACTTCCCTGCACTAGGTTATGCCACAGCGATCCCTCAGTGGGAACTTTAGGAGTGTTTTGGTCAACCGACCTATATTTTGGCTAGCAATATGAGTATTTGGCGAAACTTATAAACACGTAAGTTAAGACAGGTAGCAAGCTTGGAATCCACACAGGAGCCTAAAACGTAGTCTTCTTAAGGTAGGCAACTTGTTTCTCGTGAAACTGCTTCTAATGGCAAAAGCACGCTAGGCGCCCGTTTTTTGTGCCGCGCACTCCACACCATCGGCGATTTTCAGGAGCACTGGAACACCCGTTGTACATACTTCCGCGGTCTCATATTCCATCGAAGTTAGGAATAGTCTAGAAAGCTTCAGTCACCACAAAACCTTATTTGTCCTTGCGAAATCGAATCCCACAAAGATTCCGTCTTCGTGGTGTCTTCTAACGCATTCGCATCTTCGTTTAACCCAAGACGTTCATTATAGCAATATGGGAGTCCACTCTATGCTAATTATTTTGAAAAAAAATGGTTAAAATCAAAATTTGTCAGATGTGTTTTAGAATGCGGTAAAATTAAATAAGGCTGAATGACAAATTTACAAGGCCTCAAGGGAATTTGACGATGTTAATGGTTAGTTAAATTTTCGTTTGCGTCACGAAGTCGCTTAACACAAAGTCCGTCGGAGGGCGAATCCCACGACTGACGTTACAATACTTACACGGAAATTATAGGGGAAAAGAGTTAATTCCAAATAAACCTATAAACACGAATAGTAGGGTGAGTTAGTGGAACCAGCCGACCTTTCTGATTTCCAGATGAGCCTTAAAACTGCTTTAAGGAGACATTTTTAGGAACCTGCCGGACAATGTCGGCTTATGATGGAGGATGGACGTTTCTGGTCAAGTTCTTCATTCACTCTTTGTTTATCCAGATACACAGAGCACAGTTAGTTAACTACTCAACGAACGTCTAGTCGTTCACACAAATCGACTTTTAAATGCTCCCCATAACTTTCAGCGAAAATAATTCATCTAGTAGTTAATCGCCCTAAAAACCTTAGTTTCGCACTATTGATGTGTCGAACGCCAAGACGATTCTTCTAGCAGATGTCCCTGTCTTAGGAACGGAGACAAAATGGGATGAACGGAACCTTGTTCCAATCCACCCCCTTGCGGCCCACTTCTTAATACGAGCCATGTGCTAGCAGGGAGGTAACGAAACAGTGGCAAATAGCAACGTCCACCACTACACGTTTTGGTTTTTGGGCATACTCCTTATAGATGAACAAAGTAAAGTACTTTGGCCCTTGCAATTGTATAGATTTAATGGTAAATGCTATATCTAGAGAAAGACTGTTAGTGAGGTTTCCCTTAACTGAGGGTAGGATAGGATATGTGCAAATACTCTTTTATTTGACCATGAAAGGAGGAGGTCCTCAAACCGTTTTGTGAGAAATAACAAAATGTGATCCTTTTGGCCATTTAATACACGAGTCATGGAGGGAAATATCCAGGTACGTCGTCCTCGTACAAACGATTTGTTTAAAAGTCCAAAGGGATTGTTGAATTTTACAGCAGCACGCTATGGGGTAAAAAGTCTCTTTTCAGCAAGGAACGAGAAAACGTTAACTGCGAAGTGCTAGTAGCAAGCAGCATTTTATATTTTGGCACTTTCTAGTTGACCTTTATGCAATGACCTATAGGTTTTTCGATCAATTACCCAAACTCGTAAAGTGGTCGAGGACTTTAGGTGGCGATATTTTCAACCAGACAAATTTACATATAAACTCCATCTCACTGAATGAGTAAACTCTGGTCATTTATGACATCTAACATTTTCCAACTGTCACCTACGTCATGGTCAAGTACAACTGAATTGTTAGATAGAGAACGAAGTTTTTGAAAAAAATAATAATTGAAAAGGCTTAAACTGGTACAGTTATAATGAATCTATATAGGCGTATTTTTCGGAGTATACATTCATGTTTTCACAGGTGGAATACATCCCCGAAAAAGATAAAAAAGATAGGGGGGCAGCTTCGGCTTATGTGCGACCACCATCATCGTCCTTGTCGTCGCCATCATCAGTATCATCCAAACACTCCCGAACGTCGAGTCGGGAAGACCCGTGGTTCGGACCATGTTTCAACTGGCTCCAATGTAGGATGTCTCAGAGAGGGCTACTGTCTACTTCATCACATTGGTGACGTTGATGACAATAAAACAGATGACAGGATTCAGAGGCGCTGACCAACACAAGTTTCTATCGGTTGTGGCTTCTAAGAAGTGGCTCAACACCAACTAGGGCATGCCCAGAATCAATCTTGCTGTCGATGTTGGTCGAATGACTTTCAAAACAGTTCATCACTAGGCTGGACCGACGCATTTGAACCCGTACATGATCGAGCTGATTTTGTGGGCTGTCATAATTTCATTGCCAGGAAACTGGATATGTTAGTGGACTTAAGGATCGTTGAACAAGACTTCTGGTATTTCTTCCTTCCTCGTCTCGTGCTACATACACAAATGTTTGGTCAGGTCATAAATTGACTGCAAAGATGGTCCAAACTTCGGTCAGGTTGACACTGTATAAGCACTGGTCATCCTTTTCTCCCGGCGACGTCGGAGTTGCGCAGACCACGGGGGAGTCCAAAGAAGGCAAGGCCCGACTAATGGATGCGGGAACGCTCAGGGTACGTGAGAGCGGTCGACGTGTAAAGAGTGACTCCATTGTGCTAAACCCGTAGCCGTCGGACGAGCACAAAACGAACCTTGATCCTGCATTGACAGTGTGAACATACATTTAGGTGTTGAACCTCGGAGGATTACGCGATCAACACCATGACAGGAGCAGATGCGCAACTGAGCATGGGGCTTCTTGCCGCCGGTTGCATCCACTTCGGGCTGACCATCAACACGGATCAAACGGTGGTCGTGCAGCAACCGCAGCCAATGCTGCACAGAGCGTCCCTAGCATCACGGGCAACAGCACCCAAATGAAGACAACCTCGCCCCTTTTAGACAGGACTCACTTAGCATCAAAATCGACGTTCAGGTGGCTTACCGGATCTCGAAAGCCAGCCACGCCTTCGGCCGGGCTGCAGGTATCCATCTGGAACAGCCACGAACTTCGATTAAACACGAAGCCCAAAATGTTGAGGGTGATTATGCTGACGTCACTATATAGGTTTTGACATGGAGAATCTACACTAGTCAAGCCAGGAAAATCAAGCAACTCCACCGCAGCTATCTTGGATGGCAGGACAGGACTGCGGACACAGAGGTTTTGGAGCGAACCAGGATCCACGTCATACTGAGACAATTGCAACTGAGATGGTAAGGCCACCTCCTGAGGGTGGACGATAATTGACTCTCCAAACGACTCTTCGCAGATGTCGCTACGGATTTTTGTCGACATGGATGACGAAACACGTTGACAAAACGACACCATAAAGAGCCCTTTGAAACAGTTGCAAATAAACTAGGAGACCTAGCATTATCTCGCCCAGAACCGACCGAACTGGAGAAAAGCAGCGAAGATCGAAACAGCAATTAATGTGTCCAGCATGATAGCAACTGCCCAAGCCTTGATCCACAACGCCAACCCCTTCCTGTGTGCCTATGCTGCCGGCAAACATTCGGCGCACAGATCGGATTCGTCGGACATCTCAGGACACAATGCAACAACAACCTAAAAACCCCAACTGTCGCCACCACAACTACCCCCATCAACAAGCCTGCACCAACGCCCACAACTTCCTCGACGAGGACCAACTTTACCGTCGGTGAACACACCCCTGTTGCTGCGCCGGCCGTCACTTTCTTCATCCCTACCACATACACCGCGACGACGACGACGACGACGACGACGACGACGACGACGGCGACTACCAGCCCTCCCACTTTCGCCGCCGGCCAGAACACTTCCCACTCTTCGTCAACCATTACCTTCTCTATCATCCCACTCTCAACCAGCGATGTGCATTTAGTCCCAATCTGTTCTCATTACAATCGCACACCCACCTCACGCATCAACTTGATCGGTCACTTGCGAATCCATCTCACTATGACCGTCGCACCAGTGACAGGACCCCCCTCCCAAAAAAAACACTTGTCCATCCGCGCTCAGCATCCGCAATGTCCCCGCCCTTTCACTTACCTCATGTACCTATTCGGTCACAACGGCAGCGGGATCCACCGCAATATCGATACACTAAGCGGACACTGAACACTCAACAGCTTTCTTATCCCCAACCCTAACAAATCCCCACCTACTAGTGTGGACACCGCTAACAGCACCACAACGACAACCGACACAACATCCCCCAACCTATCCTACCCAATTTGCCACCGCACATGCGCATCCAGTGTTGCCCTGGTGGGTCACCTACAAATCCACCTATTGGAGACTGGCGAACCAGTACCAGGTACACCAACCTACTCCCGTCGCTTTCGCTCCAACTGCCCTGATTACCCTCGCTCATTCAGCCATCGCATAGGCCTACTCAGTCACATGTGCCTCCAAGAAAATCTGCTGAAAAACCACCATAGACTAGACCGCGTCATTGCACACTTTCCAACCAACGCATAAGCCACACATAAACATCTCCAACACCACACAATACAGGCACCCTCCACGTAGATGCTAAGGGTGCTCTGCTCCCTCTCCAGTCTGCCCCTCCCCCCTGATGCATGTCAGATAGAAGCATTCCATGCCTGTGAGTATCTCTGGTGCGTGCATGCTGGAGGCAGATCGTGTGTGGGCCACGCGCAGACGGGCTATTCTTAGCTCTATCAACCACTTCTACCAATATCAGCTTCAGGCGATTGGCCGGCTCCCTCAGTCAGCTTGCGCACTGGGTAGGGAAGAGCGAGTGAGGCTGACTCAGCACACTCTTTCACTATAAAAAGCTGACGCGCCTGAGATCATCACAGTCGGCCGTGACCTAGAAAATTGGCAGTTCATGATTCCAGCCAGATAACGCAGTCAGTCCATCGTGTGTTTATGCGTAGAGTGGCCGATTCGTAGACTGACAGACAGATCGCGATGTCTCCTTCTTGACAGTTCGACTGCCGTGACCGAAAATGTCCACCTTGTGCTCCACAACATTGTGGGAGCAGGCGCGGTGACTTGCGCGTGATTTCTTTTATAGCAGTAGTAGACTTAAGCTGCATCTAATGCGCTCCATCCTCCTCCTCCTCCCCGACCTGGACTCGGTGTCAAGGCATATTCAAGAAGGAGGCGGCAGAGGGTGCCGGCGTCTGACGTTCCGCACCTAGGCGTGCCGCCACACTCTCTGGTCCACAACAAACAATTGACCAGGATTTTAATCGGCAATAACAAGTGCGAAGGCTGGCGCGGTCGAGGCCGCCACACCGACTCGGATCCCACTAGGTGGGGGCGTTATAAAGGCCTCATATAAAGGAGCCATTTCAGCCTGATTCTCAGACTGCTAGTCCATCACTCCACACAAACACACACCGGACTGACTGCGATGTCAAAGTTATCCCATCAGTTGGCAACCTACCAAGCCACTGCACTTAGCGTATCGTGATAAACTCAGGTTCCGGTCACACACGAGGCTGAGGAACCACATTGAGAATGAGCCGAGAAACACGCTTACCGCTTCCTTGAAAGGTGTCGGTGTTGTGACATTTTCGAGAGATGTATGCGTGGTGCATGTGAGGATGGGAGAATGCGCGGTTATTCGATCGTGTCTGCAGTGATTTACCGCAGGTTTCCTGAATGAGCATGTGGCCAAAAATGTCCTTGTGGTGGCTGGATGTGCGAGGGCAGTGTGAGTATTTGAGGCGACCGCGTCTGATGCATGTTGGTGCTCCACGTACTGGTTCGCTAGTCTCCATGCGATGGATTCGCAAGTGGGCGACCAAGTTGATGTATTAGGTAGATGTGCGGTGACAGTGTGGACAAGATAAGTCGGGAGATTCGGTTTCGGCGGTGGTGATGGTGGTGCTGCCGTGGTAAGTAGTGCGCGCGCTGGGCAATGGGAAAACGATTGGGCTGGGATGGTAGATGTGCAAGGTGTGCTAGTTGTATCGAAACTGCGGTGTATTCCACTGTCCTGAATTCGCATATGGCGGCATAGATCCACGCGGTAGATGAATGCCCGTGGACACTGGGGACAGTGGAGGCAGATGCGGCGACTGTATGTTGGTGCTCCAGGCACTAGTTCGTCAGTCTCTATGCGATGGACTCGCAAGTGACCGACCAGGCCGATGTGTGTGGGGAATGGACGACCGCCATAAAGATAGATTGTGACCGTGTCCCGTACGCTCGGCCCAGCGCTCCAGACTCTGTCACTTACTTGTCAGAAGCGTTGATCCCTCGGATCTGAGAAGCGACGCTGTTCCTTTCCTTGAGTGACCGTAGATCGCCTTGCTCGCAGGGAGGACGTTTTCCGTTTCATTGCGGTCTACATACCTCTTGATCTTCTCGGTCAATTGAGCCATCCAGGCGTGCAGCATTTCTCGACATCGTCGCTGAACAAGGCGGCCTCATTGCTAGAAGACCGCCTTGTTTGCATGGGATGGGTGGCCAATGTAGGCTGTATACGGGTTGTTTTTCGGCGAGCAGGTTGTTGATGTCTGCGTCGTTTTTGTCGAACCAATCCTGGTGTTGATAACGTAAGCGACCGAGGACACCAAAGACGGTCGAATGGACGGTGTCCCGCACTTGGCATCATCGAGACTCTACGGTGACTTTGACAGTCCTTCCATGTGTTGGGCCAACTGATTGTGGAAATGTTAGCGGCGAGTAGGCAACTTCAACATGACAATATTCAACTTGCCTGTTGGTCACTTGCCTTGTGCCTCCTGTGGGATTACAGTCGGAGCCCCATCTTGGAGACGACGAGGCAGTGGTTCGTGCAGCCATCAGTGCCCCAGATCGCCTTGGACACCAGCACTTCCTGTCAATCACGTCGCCGGACGAGAACTTAATTCGGCAACTGCCAGCGCCGCGATCGGACCCGTTCGTTGGTGGGACGTAGGCGTTGATGATGATGGCGAATTGAGATTCACGAAGAGGCAGGTACAGGCTCATCAGTCGGCTGTTAATGCTCTGCAGCAGACAGGGCAGTGAGCCCACGATGTCATTCCGGATGGCAAACGCGACGCCGTCGTCTTGCCTCTCTGCCTTTTGGTGGCCGCTCTAGAGGGAGGTGTAACTGGCACCCACCTCCTCCAGCTGACCCTGTTCGGAAAAGTGAGTCTCACTGAGTGCAGCAATGTTCGCCTTGTAGAGTACCGATTCTCGAGCGACGACCACCATCCTTCGTCCCAGTTGGTTACTCCTAGTATTGTCTAAAAGGGAACGAACATTGCAGGTTGTCAGAGTGTGCGAACCCAACCAAGCAGCCAGTCGGGTGGGACAGAGTCGAGGGAGATGCTAAAGAGAGAGCTTGTTGTTCCTTGTTTTGTTGTTTCGACTGCAAGATTTACATCTTCGAGCACAGTATACTAGAAGGCGGTGTTATTCCCCAGCATTTGTTTTGGACACCTTTTCTAGACCCTTCCTCACCACGGGATAAACAGTGTCATCCCAAGATGCGGCAGCTTAGACATCTTAGACGGCTGTAGAGCTTCATCGGGGGTCACGTCTTTGCTTAACGGAAGGCGATCCATGTTAGCTTGGGCCGCGTACGGGATTGCATGTCGCCCTCTACGTAGGACATTTTGAATTTGGGAGGAGGGATGGATGAGGGTGGGATGATGATGATGATGACGACGACGACGACGACGATGATGATGATGATGATGATGATGATGATGGTGATGATGATGATGATGATGATGATGATGATGATGATGGTGGTGGTGGTGGTGATGATGATGATGATGATGATGATGATGATGATGATGATGATGATGATGATGATGATGATGATGATGATGATGATGATGATGATGATGATGATGATGATGATGATGATGATGATGATGATGATGATGATGATGATGATGATGATGATGATGATGATGGGAAAGGGGGATGGAGGAAGGGAGGTGGTGAGGGGGATACGGGGTGTGGTAACACACAACACCGGGTACCCTCACCTAGTTTGGCCCGCCGGTCTAGGCAGCTACCGGGCTGTGGCCGCTAGGCAGAATCTAGCTTATTAATGATGATAATAACAGCGCTGTTTTGGACAGGAAACGCTCATCGTGGATGGCTGGCAAGTGCCATTGAAGGCAACGCAGAACCCTTGTTAGAATGAAATCCACGAGAGATTAGAAGAAAAGACAACACCAGCATGCCAGAAGACCATTTTCCGACGAAATTGCCGAGGTATTTTTTTAAGCCATCCCTAAGGTAGCTGGAGACCTTCATTCTTCGTCGTAGATTAGCCAGCGTCAATTTAATCAGCACAGTTAACACATAAGCAGTCACTGGGTAACCTTAAACCACTAGTATGAAAGAAAAACAGATCAGGAGATAAGACGGTTGCTGAAGTATTCCACAGCTATTATTAGATTGGGTAGCTTAACAGCTGCCGGATAGGATACATTCAGTTAGGGGACAGAAAGGATGTTTAAGCTTAGAGTCATGGATATTTGGCCAACGAAGAGATGCTGTAGAACAGTATTGAAGACGGATTTTCACTCATGAAATGCATATGGGAGCGTAAAAAAACATTCGCCTATTCATCTGAGAGCCGTGGTGGCCGTCAGAGCAACGAAAACCAAAGTGCTGCTTCTGTAGCGGCTAAGCAGCAAGAGTGTACTCAGAGCGCTACAATCATTCGGCAAAATTCCGTGCTGGAGGAAAAGGCAGAAGTCACCAGATTTAGGGATTTATTGTACGCAGGATCTGAGTTGCCGTCTCGGGCGGCAGTGCTCGCCAGCGAAGCCAGGGCCGGTGTTGACTGCATTCAGTCATGCCTGAGATCCGTGACACTGTGATGGCAGCGTCTTTTGTATGTTTTTGGATCAATCTGAAGTTGTGTCCAATTGCTGTGTGTTGATTTGTCGAGGGGTCGTGTTCAAGTGGGCTTATGTCGCATTCGCATGGGGATGTTGAGTTCAAGTGGTGCATAGGCAGCTATAACTCTGTGGACGCACGTACGTCCGATTCAAATACGGTCGAGTGGCTGCAGGCCAGTACACCTGGATTCGCTGATTGAGAAGGTGAGTGACCTTGACGCAATAGGGCCTTGAAGAAGGGCGTCAGACATGGCCATTATGGCTGTCGGCAACAGCTCGCTGCCAGACACAGAACGAAGTGATGGTGTCGATCGTGAGACAAACGATGGAATCAATGATTTGATCCAACACATATGCGGGTTTGAGAGCTTGTGTTGATGATGACAGGAGTAGCTCGGACGGCCTACGAGGGTGACGTGACGTGCATGAGGTGAAGTTGTGCCATCAAAAATGGGTGTGCTGGCGTGATCCCCTGAATGGGTATCGGTGAGCTGTCGTGTTGGCATGAGAGGAAAGGACATTTCGGACACAATGTACCCCTGTGAGGCCTGAGTCCGATGAATGCATCAATAAAACAGGCTTACTGTTGTCTAGAAACAAAAGTTGAGATGGGATGCAGCATCGAAAGTTTGGAATTTCATCGTCGTTTATACAGTAGCATGTTGTGCGCATTAAAGTATATCGTGGATAATGGTTTCGTTAGTTATGGGCAGAGGAATATCTCGGGAAATAGAGAGGTGTTCAGATGGCAACATATTTGGGTGACTGATCTACACAGTTTTACTGGGGTTTGACCAGGGCATGTTTGGCTGAATTATGTTGTTAAAATCCATCTCAATTACAGACAGGGTTTCGCGACTGCGTTTTCCTATCCGCGGGTACGATGACTACCACAGGTGGAACGGCAGGCCGAAGTCCAGTAGAAATTTTGTGACGGTTGTGGTCAGCCAAGTCTGGTAGTTGCGTGTTCGCATCGCGTCTGGGCGGTGTGTGTGCCTGTCGGCAACACATTTGACTTTTATGTAAATGGTAAGAAATTCGAAAAATGGATAAAATATGGTTACCATATCTTAACCAATTTGTTGAGGAAGCTTCGAAAGCACTAGTAAACAGGAGGGATGTGTGTGTGCCAACTGTGCGTTTTATATGTGGTGGAGGTTTTAGCACTACGCCAAACACCAGGCATCTTATTTTTCCTAAAAGCAGGTTAATACGGCGCGCCAGAACAAGCGCGAGCTGGACGGAGTAGGATTTAGAAAGGGCGTTGAGACGCCACCAGGTCCAGAAGCCATTGAGCAGATGGCGCTCTGAAGACCCTACTGCAGCTACTGAGACTAGAGACTCACCATTCAAAGCATAAAAACCAGCTATTGAATCCCACGCAAAGCAACTCTTGCCGATGACAACCCTATGAATGCGCCGTCCGTCGCAATAAGCGGCCAACAAGCCCTTAGCAGTTGCAATCTGCATCACCTCTGGTCGACGGCCATCTCTGACAGTGTTTACAGCTGTAAAATTATTTCAACTGTAATATTTAGACGTTTTTTTTAAATGCCTATGATTTCGAAAGAATAGGACATATCATAAAAGAATATTTGCTGAAACTCAAAAGATTACAGCGAAACAAGGGAATATCCATCAAACCGTACAAAGGTTCTGACCTCGTTCTAATGAATAAAAAAGTTATGCTTAGAAACTGGAATCAATCCTTGCTGACAACGCTAAGTTCGAAAAGGGATGCAAAATGAGGACCAAACAGAGAGCGCAAAAGTTCAACTAACAAAATGCCCTCTGAAACTGAAAGGTTGAGGTTTTCTTAGTGAAGAAAAGTTCGTAGCTCTTAAACCCACGGGCAAAATAACCCCAAGGCCCAAGGCTACGTGGTTTGCCAAATATTCATAAACCAGACCTTCCGATGCCGGCGATATTAGACATGGATAATTCATCCTATCACGCAATGGCTAAGTGGCTGGCAGAAAGGCTTAAGCCGCTTCGACATAGAATAGCGTCACGTATTATACGGGACACATTAGAATTCGTCGAGTACATACTAATCTTAGTGGGGGAACGTTGCTTTCGTTGGACGCCGCGTCTTTGTTCACTAATATTCCTCTTAGGGAAATGATATAATTTTTGTGTGAGGAGATTAGAAGGTACGATTTCCCAATCGAAATGCCCGTCCGCGACCTAAAGGCACTGCATTTTTTCTACACAGCAAATGTCTAATTCAATTCAATGGTCAATTTTACCGTCAGATCGACGACCTAGCGGTGAGATCCCCCTTAGACCTCCACTAGCCGATGTCTTTATGAGAAAGCTACAGAAAAACTAGCCCTGTCCAGTTATAAAGGACCTTTACTGCCATGCTCAATATGTTGATGGCCTTTTTGCAATAGCATGTGAAAAGCTTGATTTGAACACCCTCCAGTATAAAGTGAATCAGGCTCGCTCAGCGTTAACTTTCACTTAGGAAAAAGAGAACGGAGGGTGCCTCCCCTTTCTAGACGTCCTACTTAATCGCATGCCGGATGGAGCAGTTCGTAGAAGTGTATTTCTCACACTGCCATTTCAAGGGGATCCGGTGAGCGAACCTCTATATCATCGCTTAGACACTGCTATCGCGCGCATGTACCCAGACGCTAAAATAAGACCTGGTTTCACAAGCACTCCGGTTCTCCGCCTTGTAGGCAAGGATAGACTGCCTTTTCAGACCTCTTCATTGTGCATCTACGCCTTCACTGTGGGACAAGTTATATTGGCTGAACAACTAGGTGCTCAGCTAAGCAAATGGGAGAGCACCATCCTGCCTGACTAAATCAAAATGTGGAAAAATCCATCTCTGGCGCAGATGCGGTTCATTTGGTTGGCAGGGACAGAAAGAGAATAATTAGGAAAGGAACCCCTCTTATTTTGAAAGCATAAATTAAAAAGTTTCAGCCAAAGTGAACTCAATTCACTGCAGACGGAAAATAAGTTAACAAATTACTCAATAGTCAGAACTTCTATCCAGAAAGAAAAGATTTTTATGGGGACGATTCACGCCTTAGTTTCTGTATTAATGTCCCTTCGTGCGTAAGATAGCGTGTTAGGAATGGCAGTACAGAATGCTGACGTGCCGATGTACGGTAAGTGATAAGTCGAAAACCATGGCGCATGGGGCGGGAAGACTTAGCAGAGGTTATTTCAGAATGTACGAGACGAGCATCGTCATCCGGAATTCGACCAGAAAAGTGCTTGACCATTTTTAAATGTCGTTGTATGATAACACCGACTAAAACGAGCTAAGAAACGCCAGCAGCAGAAGAGGATATTCGGAGAACTTGTTTTAAAATGTTCATATCTTTTGGAGCAACGCAGAAAAAAGGACAGGGGAACAATAAAGAATAAGTGGAAGAATGCAGGCATCCGTGAATCGTCAGACTAAGGGTTAAGATATATGCTAGGAAAGTAAACGACTAACTTTAGTGAAAACGTCTCTTATGGGGAGCAAATAAAAGATTCGATGGCAGAGTTATACCAAGGCACCTGAATGAGGATGCCTCGTTGAAAAGGATGTCAAAGGATTCAGGGCGAGAAGAGGGTCGCAGTCGGAAAGTACACCGAACTTATTTTTGATTATTTACTAGGAGACCATTTTCCTGCGAGCATACTGAGACGTAAGCCACCGGGTAGATGTCAATCACGCATTCCAAATCATCTACAAAGTGCCGGCGAGACATTCCAAGTTCCTGCAGCGGCGGATACTGGCGATGGCAGAGGCAGTGGTCATAGTGTTAATAAACCCAACCCAGTGCTCGCATAAAGCGTTCATAAAAGCGCTAAGGCTACCCTGGTCAAAGACGAATACGGAATCTGTGTTCACACCTCCTGCCAAGTCGCGTTACAGCGACGAAACAGAGAGGGCTAACTGTCAGCCCTCTTCCCCCTTCCCTCCCCAAGCCCCTGACCAGAACTAGACTCCGAACGCCCTCAACTCTCTCCCCCATATTTACGGTTTATTGGCTGTTTAACTTTTGCTACTCCGCAGGCCTAATGGGAATAATTGGAAACTTACGTTCATCGGACTTGACTTCTTAAATACCCATAAATCGAAGTAACTGCCCTAAGGTGTCCGTAGAACCAAGGGAAAATCGCATGACTTCAACCTTCTCTCTACTGTCAGCCCCAGGATGTGTGAATA